GTTGAAAATAATTCCATATTTGGATGGATTTAGGGATGAAATTGGAATATCCAAAAGTTTAGGTACTAATTTAAAAAGAGGGTCATAGTTTAGGGATAAATTAGAATGTTCAAAAGTTTAAGGATTAATTTAGAATGAGAGTCATATTTGGGGATAAAATTGGAATATTAAAAAAAAGTAGGGACTAATTTAAAAGGAGGGTCATAGTTTAAGTAATGATGCAATTAACTCTTTATTTCACCAAAAAAGTTAATTTAATTGATAATAAATCAATTATCAATTGATAAGGCTACTGATATTTGTTCCACCCTGGGTGTAATATCCTTAAAATTTGGTTAGTGACCAAAATGTAAAATTTGAAAGTTTAGTACTCAAAGTATAAAATCGGGAAACTTTTAATGACCTGAGTGGTAATTTTTCCAAAAAATCTTATTCCATAAATGAATAGTTTACTCATTGAGAGTGGGGTTTTATTGAAATCGGATTCTTGATCCGAAATTGGTGTTAAAACTAGAAAGTGTTAAAGTCCGGTAAAAATTCGGTAAATCGGATCGAATAGACCAAAAAATTAATTTGTTTATATTTGAATTTATAAAGATGATAAGGGTTATGTGGCTTGGTATGGATATATTATCAAGTTTCATTAATCGTAAATTGTCATTTTTCATTAAATGAATTATTAATTTAAGCTTAAATAATGATAAATTAACATGAAATTAACTAAAATTTCATGAGAACTTGGTCATCTTACCCTCGTGACCTTCATATCCTAGGTAAGAGAATTTTTATTTTTCATTTTAATCCAATTTATTAGGTTTTTGGATTAAGACGTGAAACAGAAAATTGTTCCATTCGATGAGCTCTATCATTTGATACCATTATTGCATGCTAATCTTGCTTGAGTTCAACAATCCCAAATTTTAGGGTTTATGTTCATATTAGGGTTTATGAAATTGATGATGGATTTTGAGGTTTTTGAGGTTGTAGAATCTTTCCAAGCTTGTTGATAATTAAATCATGATCAAGCCTCCTAGAAATGCATTGGTAGTTTCGGCCTAACCCTAAAAATTAGGGGAAGTTGTGATTTGATGAAATTTGATTAGGGCTTGTACTATTCGAACTTGGCTTTTGGGATGATAAAAAATATGGAAATTATGTAGGGGCTGGAAATGATGTAGGAAGTATTATACAAGCCTTAGAAAAATTTGGGACCATTTTGTAATTTTATGAAAGTTGGGGGACCTATTAGACAATTATGGAAAATTATGGATCCATGTGTAACGGTTCAATAGTTGATGTACTATGCTGGAAATTAATGTTGTTGAAATTGATATCAAAATGTGAAATTGGATCATTTTGGAAACTTGGTAAGTTTGGTGAGTAGTTTGGGAAGTTTGGAGAGTTTAAAGGTAATTATGCAATTGTAAATATACTAGATCGATTATGTTGATTTGATGCTGGAATTTTCAGTACTGAATTTGAATTGAGCAAAGAGTAAAGACCATTTCGAAATAAAATGAAAAGTTGAGATGAATTCTAAAAGAATTCATAATTGTGGTTAAATGCAAAGTTGAAAATGTTACGTGAAGTTTAATGAATTTAGATAAAAAAAGGGGACTTGAATGGTTAACAATTATGTTGTGACACAGAATTAGTATCGAATGAGCATTGAAAGAATTTTTAGGAAACTATTTTCTATTGTGTGCCTATGTTAGTAAGATTCTAACATGTAGTTTGAATTTGTATATGTTTGTAATGATGATTATTTAGATTGTGTCTTCAAATCTTGATATTATGCGAGGATTAATAGGGTCTGAGGATGGCTTGCTCTCGCTTTCCAACTGTGCCGACCCCGTGCTTCCATCGTTGTCTCTGCTTTTGAGTGACGATAAGGTGTTTATTTTTTCACGAAACTTTCTTTAGCTAATCATTAGTGCTTGTCAGTTAAGTGATCTCATTGAAAATGTTTGAATCAATCAACACAAGCAGCTCTCTTTTGATTTTTTTTTTTGTTTTATGGAGTGGTGGTCTCATGTATCAATGCTGCAGGAAGTTTCAGAACCAGCTGCTGAAGCTCGTAAATCTGTCCCAAAATGCAGGATTGGCCGCCAAGATGGTTGAAATGGGGATGATTAAAATAGCCATGGATTTGTTGTCCAAACCAGGCTCTAGTATTACTCGGCTTCTGGTTATGCTACTTGTTAATCTAACACAGTTGGATGATGGTATTTCGTCTTTGCTTCAGGTGCTTCTGTCATGTCCTATGACTCTTACTAATCCTTTCTTAAATCTGCATGAATATTGGGACAGGTCATATATATTTTTTTTTTTGAGATTTGAAAGATTTATGTTGAATGTTGTGCGTGTGTGTGTTTATATATTACTTCTCATCTCATTATCATTATTTTTTCTACCTTTTCTCTGGGAATCGTTAATCACTTAGCAGGGGGCTTTTTGTGCTTTTTAGACTGGAGATGACAAGATGCAAGGGCTTTATATAAAGAAGCTTGTAAGATCATTCTGTATATCAAGCGAGACCATTTTGCTTTGTTTCATCATGTATATAGATGTGAAAGGTCCTTTTAGATAATTTCGGCTCTTGCCAAGTTTGGACCGTCTCAGAAAAAGGTTCGACGCAACCACCCTGTCAGATATAAACGAGACAGGACTAGCTTGTTCACAGTTGTGTATCAGCCCCAAAATGATTCCTGCATATTGTCTCATACAGGCCTTGTATAGATGAACTGTTTAAAGGGGGCTAATAGGCTTTCCGTAAGATAGCCAACCTATAATATAATTATAGCCCCAGATTAACTTGAGATGGGCATTTGAAGAGCTTAATGAGTGAGAAATTTGTTCCAAGGAGAACTGAAGAGATGATACCACAAAGCCGGGGGATAAATATTCAATAGCAGGCTCGTTCAGAGTTTGGTAGTTAGATATTGATTAATTTGAGTATGATCAGGCTTGCAGATAGTTTCTTTTCAACCACATATTGTAAATAAAAGCCTGCTCTGATAAAGCTTAGGGACCAAGCTTATGCATAAACCAATTCACACCTGAGCCGACCTATTAACTTAGCTTCTCTAGAGATCAGTGGGTTGTTTGCATGGTTTCAGGTTTCTGGAACTATTAGGAACTGCTGCTTCGAAGCTGAGAATCAACTACAGAATTTGCTCTTGATATCAGAGTTTCTTTGGCCAGCTCGGCTTCTCCCAGTTGCTGGAAGCAAGGTAGCATTTAAAATGTTTGCTGCTAGGTTAAAGCATTTATTTTATGTTGGCTCATAACCAAGGATATAGCAGTCTTAGATAATTTATTTTCCTTTCTGATTCCGTATCCATGTCTCTCCAGGAAGCGGGTCGAAGGGCCATGTGGTCTGTCAATGGACCGAGATATTACAAGTGGGGTATGAAGATCCAAAAGTAATGGAAGCATACGAGCAATCGGTTCCTTGGTCTGTTGCGATTCATTCTATCTCGTAGTTGCTATGGTATATGATAATAATCGTTCAACCGCATTAGTTACGAATCTGATCCCGATTCTTGTATCCATTACCAGCTTGTTCATGGCAGCCGTGAGACTGAAGAACCATCAACAAACACATCAAAGTAGCTTTACCTTGAATGCTTATTGCTTTCTGGATTACCTGTCCAAGATGTTGCTCTGTAGGCTTTATAAAGGCTACTAGATATGCAATTGCAGTTCCCTTGTTTTAGCTTAAACGATGTGGCACGTCAAGATTCGATTGCAAAAGTCGGTTATTGTTTTTTCTCTTACAAAAAATAGGAAGCACTGAAAATGATTAAATTATTGGGTAAATTATACGATTAGTACCTAAACTATCAATTTTAATCTGTTTTAATACTTAAACTTTACTTTTTTTAATTATGGAAAGTTTAATTTTTGTTTCATTTTATAGTGTCTCGCCGTAAAGTTTTTAAGGCACTGCATTTCTTGTGGGTAAATTAAATCATTCATCATTCAATTATCTTCTTACTCCTATTTTGATACTAAAGTTTAAAAAATTTCAATTTAACTACTCAACTTTCAAATTGCTTCTATTTTAATCACATTAATTTATTTTATTAATAACTTTTGGTATGACATATTATTATTATTATTTTAATATATAATTAAAAATAAAAAAGTAAATTTGAAAGCTAGAGTGATTAAATTAGGAGCAATTGAAAGGTAAGTAATTAAATTAAAAAAAATTAAACTTTAGTGATCAAAATAGGAGTGATAAGATAGGTTGAGTGATGAATAATACAATTAAACAAAAAAGGTGTCACGTGCAAATCACCCGTTAATTTTTTAAACGGTGAAGTATTAAAACTAGGCTATGTATGATTTTGAAAAAATTGAAAGTTTATATATTAAAATAGATCAAAATTGATAGTTTAAGTACTAAATATGCAATTTACCCTAAATTATTATAAAATATAGTCAAATTAAGTATTTAATCAAAAAATCATAATAAATTTTGATATTATACGAATATTAATTGATAAAATAAATTAATAAGTAATAAAATTTATTTGAATATATAATATTCCAAACAAATAAAAGATTATCCTTAACTATTTAGTTACGTGTCATTCAATTGGAAACTACTCGTAGGTATAGATTCTCATTCAATTTGGAAGCTGCTTGTGCTCAGGACCGTCCATATATAAAACAAATTCTTCCTATAGCCGTCCGATCAACTTAACTAAAAGAAAATCAGAAATCGAAGGATCACAATTTATCAGAATAGAGTCGCACGCACCGAATTACTTCTCATGATATTTAACATTATGCCTTCTTCATTTTCCCCAATTCTGTTTGATTGGAATCTTCCTCTTTCATTCCAACTCTAATAGAGAACTTTGATCCATCTGTCTTTCTCTCTTTATGTGTAGCTGTTTCCCAGGTGCTTAGACTTTTAATCATTTGACCAAATCAATTATTAGCTGATTTTCTTTGAATAAACCGTCAATTTTGACTTATTCTGGGTTAAATAAACCATTAGCTTCGAAGTTCTTCTTTTCTGTTCTTACAAATTCATGTGTTTTGTCTGAAGTTTGTTTGGTAGAAGGAGATGGTCTTCGCTATATCTGATGAGTTATTGGGAACTATCGTCCCGATTGTTGTTTATTGGATTTATTCCGGAATTTATATGTGTTTAGGATCTTTAGAGAGCTATAGATTGCATTCAGTGAGCGACGAGGATGAGAAGAATCTGGTTTCCAAACCAACTGTCGCCAAAGGCGTCCTTCTGCAGCAAGCAGTTCAGGCTGTTGTCGCCATCCTTTTGTTTGCGGTAAATCGTTGCTGAAACAATGATTCAATCTTTTACTTTTTGATTATTAATTTGTTTTTTCACAATCGAAATGTAGTTGGAATTTTGTCGGTCCGATCTTCTTTTACCTTGATGTGTGAATCGTTGAATTTTATTATTATGTGTTTGGCTTTTTGTTTTACTTTTGCTTTGATGCTTATTTAGAAAGTAAGATAGGTTATAAGACTTAGTTAAATTTTCTTAGCATAGCTCCAAATTCTTACCCTTAATTACTTTGCAAAGATATGAAGAAGAGATTGGAGTTAATTATTTGGATCACTCCACTGCATGTGATGTATTTGTTCAAGCTGATTACAAAGCTTGGATGGATAGTCTTAAGCTTTAGGTAGCCATGAGAACACTAATCTTAAGCTGGTAAAATACATATTCAGACGTGTATTCAAGTACAATCCTCCAATTCTATGAGAAGACTTCGAACAATATGAGCTAAGATACATACTTATGTCCAATACTCGCCTCGTGCTTGGGTAACATAGCTTTGAATTGTCATTATAATTATGAGTTTTCAGTTATAATCTTGCTGTTATTCTGCATGTATGCTGAATGATCTGTCTTGAAACTTCTTAATTAGATTTGAGGTATGCGTAATAAATGCGGATATATACTTTCTTACGGCTTGTGTTAGTGATCGCTAGTTTATTGGTCGAAAGTTTAATTTAACAGATATTATAGCCACATCAAAGTTCCTTCTATTTAGGAATGATTTTGTAAGTTTCTTTGTATCTTGTCACATGATGAAACGCTCATAAGCCGGTTGTTGCCATTTTGTTGTGTTCGAGAGCTCCTTTAACTTTCATGATCTTATAGTCGGTTTGTTGACTGGTTTTATTTCTGTTAATTGAACTCGAACATCCCTATCTTTGCCACAGTGTATAATGCGCCGTCTAAGCAGTTTCAGCTGTGATGAAATTGTCACAGTTGTATATAATTTTATATAACTTTTTAATTTGCAGGTCGCAGGGGGCGATGATGAGGCTTCTGTACAACAGTCAACTTCCTTTATAGTTCTAGTTAGACAGTTTGTCACGGCAATGGTGGTTCTGGATACTTGGCAGTATTTTCTGCATAGATACATGCACGAGAATAAGTTCTTGTACCGACACGTTCACTCTCTGCATCATCGTCTCGTCGTTCCTTATGCATTTGGAGCTTTGTACAATCATCCAGTGGAGGGGCTTCTCGGCGACACAATAGGTGGTGCCCTATCGTTTCTCCTGTCCGGCATGTCTCCTCGAACTTCCATATTTTTCTTCTCATTCGCCACCATGAAAACCGTGGATGACCATTGTGGGTTAATGCTTCCCGGGAACCCCTTCCATATTTTCTTCAGAAACAATTCCGCATATCATGATATCCACCATCAGCTTCATGGTACTAAATACAACTTCTCGCAACCGTTCTTCGTCATGTGGGATGGAATCCTCGGAACTCAGATGCCTTATTCGCTCGAGAAGAGAGCAGAAGGGGGATTCGAAGCACGGCCGAGGGAAGAGTTAAAGGATGATTAATTACTATTGGTTAGCATCCTTTCGGTTTCTTGCGCAAAATGTACCGACAGCTCTTTTCGCTTATATCGGTAAACCACACTGCTTTTGTGATTTGTATATCCCTATATTCTGAAGTTCTAAACTTGAAGCTTACTTTTGTTTATACAGGAATACATTAGTCATGTTTGAAAACTTATTTAGAAGGTTTCTGTCATTCAACTAGGAAGCTTAATTCAAATCTTGGTGTTTGTAACATGGTATTCAGTATTATTACAGCCGCTTTGTGCTAGTCTTAGATAAATCGATCAAGAATGAATTTGTTCATGTTCGATTCGTGTTCATTAAGAATTTATGGTTTTATATATGTTTGTTTGAAATTATGTATGTTTTATTAGTTTAATATTAATGTGTATGTTCATTTAGTATTCATGTACATACTTGTTTAAAATGAAGACATATATTAAACCAACAAGTTCAAAAATACATTAATGATTATATAATTAAATAAATTCGTAACGAACCAATTAAAAATATATTTTTGAATAATAGATAAATGAACATAATCAGAGGCGATCGGATAACTCGGCAATGACGAGTACGCGGTTGAAATATGAAATTAGGGAGAACAGCATTCAAGTGAATGTTCCAAAATAGCAAAATTATAACACAGATGATTCATAACAGCCAAACGTAAAAACACTGATCTTAAATCATCTCAAGCTACTATTTCAAGGTTCAAAATTTACCCCATTGAAATTCTAGCTCTTGGATGATTGCTTTTCTTTTGCCTTCTGAATCTTCAGCACCTTCTTCACAATCTTCTGCTCTTCCACCAAAAAGGCCCGAATGATCCTGCAATGATTCGTAAGCGAGAAAACAAGCCTTAAACCATCGAAAGCAACGCACGAATATGAGATCACTTACATTAGACCTAGGTCTCAATGTACGAACCTTTCCCTAACAGCACTTCAGGATAAAACTCCGCCATAAGCACGATTCACGGTCCTACGGTTTCTAGGCAATCTAGACCTCTTACACTCGGCAGGTCTCAAGTGAGGAATCTACAAAACATAGGTCATATTTAAGCTCAACCGGGGAAAACTTTACTCAAACTGAAACATACTGAATTTCCCTTCAATATACCCAGTCTAGAAAACAAAATCTCCAATGAATCACATTTCAGCTACCTAAAATCATACCCAGAAAACAAAATGCTTATAAATTCAACAATTTCCATCAAAATCCAAGAAAAGAAAGGACATACTCCTTGAATTCTCTTTCCAGTAACAGGACATTTGGGTCCACAAGCTCTCTTCTTCGTGGTTTGATAAAACAAGTTTCCCTCCTAATAGAAACAAAAACAAAGCAAAAGAAATTACCGCCATTTCGATGCACCATCGATCATACAGAGTCTTTAACCCATGAGTTCAAAAGAACAACAAACCCAGGAACGAATCTGGGCAATGGGGAGAGAGATAGATGGAAGAAGTTACCGGGGGTTTTGACGTGCTGTGCTGGTTGGACTTGGTGGCGTAGCTGTGCCGCGTGCGGTAAGTGAGTCGCTGAACCACTTTCGAGGGCCGCACCCTGGTTTTCGGTCTAGGGTTTTTGGATTGAAAGCGAGTTCAACTCAGTCCCCCCCCCCCAAGGGATATTTAAGGGAAAACGAAACTTGGACTCTATTGGGCTTTTTGTCATAGTTTTAGTTTTTTGGTTTAAATATCTTTCAAGTCCCTACAAATTTTAGAATTTGAAAAATTAGACTATGATCTCTCAATTTTTAAAACTCATATTGATGATTTAAAAAACCAAACTCAAATATTCATTTATATTAAAATTTAGCTTTGTTTCAGTCATATCATAGTGTTTTCAAGTAATAATTTGTTTGAATTCGAGGCTTTATCCGATTGGTTTCATATAATTATTGTTGTGTTTAAAATTTAGATTCAAGCATTTTTTTTTTTATAGAAAGGCGTTACATTTATTAAAAATAGAAAATATCCATAATTACAATGAAGATTTAAGCATAACTGTAAACTACAATGTAATTAGGAGATTTCCCTAATTGTGACAGAATTATAAAATTAAACTTTGAATACATATTTTCCAAGAAACTTGCTACTGACATGCAAACACATAAATTTTCTCTTGCAAGAAAAGAAAAGGTATGAATACTACAATAATTTTCTCTGGAGAAATTTTCAAACCATAAACTATACCTTTGATTTGCTTCATTGATCAACTATAAGGATGTCAGCTTACAATACAAAGATGATTGTGGCTCACTAAATTGTCTTCAAGTAACTTCACTATACCCATATCTCTTGCTCTGTGACCCAAAAAAGAAAAAGAAAAAAAACTATGGGGGAAAAAAAGAGAAAACCAATCAACCAACCCTCAGAATCAGACAGTTTTCCATCAGCTCCATGTTTTATCAGCACTGAAGCACATCACTTTGAAGTGTTGAAACTTACTTTGAGGCCATTGAGCTTCCTTGTTGAAGAAACTAAACCTCTCCAAACTTGTTGTCAATCAAGGTTTTCGAGACCTGTTGTGGATAGGATCCGATCCTCGTCGAACTCTTCGTTTGCTCGACCGATTCGGATCGAACCGGTTGTTCCCGAAAGTCTGTTTCTTCTCCGTATTCATTCCCTTCGTATCGACGGCCTTGAGAACACGTTGAACGTGTCTGAAGACAACAAGGTCCAAATTTCTCAGACCAGAAACTTCAACTGGTTGAACTGCCAATAACCCGAAAATCGAAAGAAATATAAGCACTCTTTGAGCCCTGCAAATCATTTTTTTTCTTCTTGAACTCAATTCAACTCAAAACAAACAAGAAACAAAAGCAGACAGACACAAAATCTTTGTTCTGTGTTGGTGTCACTCTGTGGTTATGTTCCATTGCTGTAGACATATGCCTGTTATTTATGTGTCCTGTCCTGTTGGATTTGGAAAGGGCTTTAAAGGCAATATCAAAGACATGGAGGGACCCAACATTAAAAGATGGGGTTTTGGGATTCACCAAAAATCACAAGTCTGCAGTAATATAAAGCAAATTAGGGCTGTTGTTTAGAAGAATCTGACATGGATGAATAAAGGGTTTTTGGAAATTGGAATAATACCCTTAAGAAGCCAAGTATCTTTTTCTTTAAGCTTTCCTTCTAAATTATATCATTTGCCACAGTGTTTTGTCTGCCACATCATCCGACCGGTTCCTAAGTGTACATTCGACTTGGGACTCACTTATTCCTGTCTGTAAAGTGTCGGATCTAGAAATTAAAAAATGGGATCTAAAATTTTAATACCCTATTCTAAAAAAAATTGGGTATGCAAATTTTCTTATTTTTTTTCTTTTCTTATTAACAAATTAAATTAAATTTAACATTTTTATCAAAATAATAGGTGTGCAATGACTCTCCTAGGGAGCCATGTACATCCGCCCCTGGTCTAGCATACTTCTAGAATGTATCTAATCCGGATTCGACACGTGTTATAATTATGATGGGTATATATTTATTGATGATATACTATTTAGATTGTGGCGATTGTAAATGTTTTAATTTTTTTTATTTGAGTAAACCATTATATTCGATTATTTAACGATGGAAAATCAATACGCAAATGATAAATAGTATCCTTTACCTCCATAGAGGTAGAGAAAGAAGTGGAGTCAAATATCCTTTCTCTCATTTTTGATTAAGAGATTATGTGATAATCTTCCGTATTAGTGTCATGTAGACGATGATCACTATTCGTAAGTTGGCATAATAAATATATATAGTCACCTGACAATAGATTTGACTCTAATCAAAGGATCATGACTGATAAGGAGAGGTAAGTTTTTTTAAAAAATTGATCAGAAAAGAATTCTTTCGAAGACATTGATAGACGGAAAAATGATAATGAAAGACATCGATAGACGGAAAAAACAATAATGAGAGTGTGAATCGTGAAAGAGATCCGAAGAAAGTATAAAAGTGTTCTATATGGATAAAAATTGCTGCAAGTTAAACAAAGGGTAATAAAAATAAAGACGTTCCTTTGATGGTAAGAAAAGGGTGTTGTTAGGGTTTCTTTAATGGGAACGACTGGTCAAGGCAGAAGCCATGGACATGGACCACTAAGAACAGCTAGATGCTTTGCAACAGTAGCAAACCAAAGCTGAATCCCATTAAAAGAATGCGAATTTAAAGTGAAAGTGAATACATATAATACACATATATTTTATGTAAAAGAAGAGGCAGTTCAAAAATAAAAAACTTGTCTTTTGTCCCCCCAATTTGTTTAAATGTAGGTAGTATTATATGCATATTTTTGCTTTATTTATTTTCTTTTTCTTTTTATTATTAAAATATGCAAAATGTCACATGCACTTGGAACATTCTAAAGCATAAATTCTTGCACTTTCGGGTTCTCGAGATGTGGGGCTAACTATGGTGGCTGCTCATATCATTTCACTTCATCTTGGTCTTTATTAATGTTCTGATTCTACACCTTTTGTCGTCCAATTGAACATTACAAAAATATTGAATAAATATAAAGATAATTAAATTATGAATCACGTCCTAAACGAATTCGAGATTTACTTATTTTAAACTCAACCTTATACCAATTTCGATTCTTTCTTTCGTAACATACACTTCGAACATGAATTTCAAGAAATCCGAGTTAAAAATTAAATATTTTGATCGTCTTGGCTTAGATGTAAGGTAACAATATAAAATCTAACATAAATAAAACCTGCTACTTGAGAAAAGAAAAAGCGAAAGGATGTTATAGATTCTCGAGGTTGGTCTAAAAGGGGATACTTTTAAAACTTTGATTTAAACCGAAGGAGGCAGCCTCGACGGTCTTTGTGCTAATGAGACCATCCACAGTCAGCCTTGCCTGAACCCCTGACCCATTCAAAACACCAAAGGGATTTAAACAAAAGATAAAGCCTTTCATCATCTCTTCCACTGTTCCATTTCCAACGCATCCATACCCTAAACACTTGTTTAGTACGGAATCGAATCGATTCTTAGTATTGTTGATATCCTGCTATACAAGTTCACCGAGTTGGGATATCGACGGCATTGTTATCGACCCCGGGTTGAGACCTATTCAGGAGACAAAACCTCCGACCCGAGGAAGACACTGATGTTGATGTCTCGATCTTGCGGGTATCGGAACATAAACCAAACCGGTTTCAAGATAAACAATCGAGTATTTTATATATAAACAAAATTGAAAGACCAAACAATTTGAGACAGACACAAACTTTTTTTTTCCATCAGGTAGACACTGCAAAATGAGATGTTACCAAAAGCACACAAGTTAAAGGCAGAATCTTTACCTGGCATTTACTTTTAAGGTTGTTCTGATAGATGATGATCAAGTTTGGTCGAGGGCACGTGAGAATACATGCTGCATTTGCTTCATAAGAGAATACCACTAAGTGCTTGGGCATCCATTGACGTGACCAACTAAGTGGAGTCTGAAAGTGGGGTTAGCATTTCAGATTTTTAACAATTCCCAAATGTTATTCGAATGTGGTAAATATAGAGTAGATAAACAAAAGACAATTTGGTGCTCCATTTTGTTTATTCCTCCCTACTTCACCACACACCACACAACTCGGACTAACCGGATTCGGACAAGTGTCAGGTACGAAATGTGCCATCACACATTCGATATTTTAATAAGATTTTTCATATATTTGAAAGATTATACTCGTACAAATCTCTAAAGTAATGGATATAAGTGTCAGGCATGTGAAAAAAATTAAAAGAAAATGAATTGAAATTAAAAATCAAGATATAGAGAATGGGAGCAGAGCTCAAACAAGACACAAGGAACCGAACTAGCACTTCTCAGATCAGGCTAGGCCTCTCCAGCTGAGCTAGGTGCCGTGCCCCTGGACACTCTAGCCATAGGCGCATAAGGGGATGTTGGTTGCCGGGTTTCTCGGATGGTAAAAGGATTTCTTTGGCTCAGGCTCTTTTGGAATTAAACCGAACTTGTGGACATCGACTATAAGGGTGGGGAATACCTGGAAAATCTTTTATTAGGTGTAGGGGCTCCAGGCTAGTACTGAAGCTGCCTGGCTCGTCTCCATCTTTAATAGGACTGGACCAAGTTCAGGCAGATGGATAGAAAAAGAAAAGCTTCATCGATAGGACGAGAACAAACTGGAACGATCATCATTGTTCATCAGCTACCAATATAATTTCAGTGCAGGGCTTCATGTTTCAAACACTAACCTGATGAGATGCGATGGTAAAATGCATGCCCCCACTAGTGCAACCTGTATTGCAGCCCCTGCAGCTTCCTGATACTGATACAATAAAAATATAAAAACTATCCGAAGAAATATGGTCGGTTTTCAGTCCGAAGAAATACACGAAGGAGTGGTAGTTAAAAAAAGATATAGAGAACCGGGGCCCCTCAGGAAGAGAAACAAACATGGAGTTTTCAAATTGGAAGTAGAAGTAATCCGAGAATAACCCGTCTTTGCCTTCGTCGCTGTAATACACCGATGGCCCGAGCCATGATGTAGCATGGCAGGAGAATTACAGCTGCACAAAACAAGAAAATCTGAAACATGAAACCATGCAATATAAGAAGAAATGACTCCAAATGAGAAGACAGTATACACATCTTCGTCCGAGTCAGCATCTGGAACGTCAAATGCATGGTGCAATAGCAGAAGCGCCATTAACTGATAAAATTGAAGAGAAAAATCAATCATTTTAGAAATGGACTCTTAACCACAATGCCGTGTGAGAAAATAAAGATTGTCGAGTAAAATGCTTAGACAGCTCAGAAAAGTCCTTTCTCCAAATCAGTTTTATCAAAATATTTCCTCAAGACATGGCTTGTAAATTAATAAGTAGAAACGATAATAATCCAATTTTCAGGGATTAATGTTAAATTCACCTAAAGAAGGATGTTGAGCACCGTGTTAAACAAGATTAGAAATTGAATATGAAATGGGGCTTTGCAACTAAAAGCTTACAACTAGAGCAGTCGAACGACAGAATGCAGCTCCACTGGCATTTAATGCAGCATATTCATCATACTCGGTTTCCAAAAATTGCCGTTCTGCCTCTGCAATGGCTAAGAGACGAGGATCACGCAAGTCCAGAGGCCAGAGATTGTCCAGACTCCACTACAAGACATACAGAAATCAATAAGATGAAATCTTCCAAACAGATCATACAGAGCAGTTGTCCCTCAAACATAACCAATATCAATAGTGGTTTCTTCAGTTTGGACGCGAGGTAGAGCAGTATAATCAGGTTGATAAGGCTGCAAGGCAAATGAAAAGCACATACTAACTTAGCAATGAGACATTAACAACCAAATTTCAATAGAACTAAGTTAACAAGGCGTCGGCAGCGATTCAAAGCCTAAATGTATCGAACCCGGGGCTTGAAATAAAAGTGTTTTCCTGTAAATCAAAAGGCTAATTCTAAAAGCAGCCGATTTCAGCCTCTTCCACTCTCGTGGAACTACTTCGAAATCCACAAACTTTCCATTCCTTGTACCAAAAACCTAATGTTCTAGTTCAAAATTATGCGATAAATGAAAATGATGAAACCAAATTGCAGTAATTGATGACGGGGGATTCTAAAGCAAGTAGATACCTGATGACAGATCTCACAGTTTATATTGCCTTTGTCGTTGCTATGCGCATACTGCAATTTTAAACACACAGAGAATTCATGAAATGCTTATCATAAATCTCATTTCATGTAGTATTTCTAAAATGCCAAAACAAAGTAATGATAATTGCGAAATTAGCACAAATTTTATGAGAACCGAATCGTGAAATCGGTTTGAATTCTTATCAAGAAAAAGAAATGAAAAATAATAGCAATGAAAGAAACTACCCTGAGGCTGCCACTGCAGGCACAGGGAGTCTCGAGATTCTTAATGGAATTTTTTTTTTTTTGATAAGAAAAGGGCCTCGTTAAATGCGGTCTCGAGATTCTTAATGGAATCTTCATCCTGGCAAATGCTGCACTCGGCCGACTGAATAAGCGGCTCCTCCTCATCCTCCCTGACGACCTCCTTCTCCTTATAATCAGACAAGCACGGCGGCCTTGGATTCTCCTCTGACGGAACAACATCGAACCTCACTGGCTGCACGGGCTCCGGCATTACCAGACCGTTGACATTCAACACCAGTCGACCACTCATAATTTATTCAGATTTGACAAAAACTGTACAAAAAAAGTCTTCGATTTCTACTGGTTCATTCAACCGATTAATTTTTTATTTACAAAAGAATAAAGGAAACCCCGAATCGCGCCGGGAAAGAGCAGCGAACCCGGGGGTTCCCAAACAAATGAAAGAATGAAAAATGTTATGGAACGAATGGCAGACAGGAAAAATAAGTCTTAAATATATTTACCTTTACCAGGAAAACTGTGGAATTTGCGTTAAATTGGACAGTGAAGAAATAGGAGAGAAATTTTCTAATTAAGCTTTGTAAACTTCTTATGATTTTGAGTTACCGTATAAAATTTTCTTCTTTTTTCAAAATGTAATAATAGCAACGATAATTCAAACAAGCAATTACAAGGCACTTTAAGAACACAGCATTTGAGGAAGAAGCAGTGATAAAGCTCTGAAAATAAACCCCTTCCTCTCCTCCCCACAACTAATGCATCACTCCTTTTATCTGATTCTGTAGTCTAGGTACAAATGAACAAGCAAGTGGTATAATAGTAGGGTTTTTGGTTCACGACTTCCCGGTATCGGAATCTAGTCTTCTATTCGGTATCCCCATGATTACTTTCGATCCTATGTTAAGAGTTTGATGATATACAATCTTACATTTTCCGCTCATATTGTGACCTTAAGTGGAGGGCATAGTAAACCAGGGAAGCACAATGATAGTATACCATCGTAATATTGGATCGTCCTCGGTTGCAAACTTGTTAGCATGTTTTCGATCTCCTCCGGACAATTATATCAACTTCTGCCTATACGAGTCACTATATATCGTCCTTTCTCTAGATCATAAACTGTCTTCAACTGGGGTTTCCTCCATTTCGATAGAGACCAAGCTACGAACATCAATATTGCAGAAATGGCAATGATGGAGATTAGTTTGGGTGAATCATTGCTGATAATGGTAGTTATCCAATCAGTTTCCTCTACTTCGAACTTGGCCATGCTTTGCAATATGAAAGCTCCCAAGGCCCAATCGAGTGGTATATTTTCTACCTGATTAGCAAAGCTGATCCTGTTTATGATAGAATCCCATTAGTAAAAGTTCAATTGTGAGAGAGGTGATAAAAATTATAGACAGATCTGCAAATTGATATGCTTCATATCGAGGAAAGCCACGGTGCCCAAACAGTCATTGAACTTGCTTGGTCTTTGCTTTTGAAGACACTGAACTAGTAAGGCAGGAAATATACCTTTCATCATCCAAAGCAATTCCAAGGCTATCATGAAGTAAGGCCACAATATACGCTGAAGAAAAACAATAGCGCAACAGTTCTTCCTCATCAAGTGACTGGTGTTTCTTCTTCAATTTAGACCAATCCTCTCCACAGAAATGTTGCCCCGCCATCATTAGATCCGAAAGAAAGGCCCTCTGGCGCAACCTAAAGAACTAATCAAACAAGAGGAGACAAACAAAGAAATTGAAGCCTTTTAAGAAACAGAAACTCGATGCATCTAAGAAAATATCACATGGGTTTAGGATGTGCTTGCAGATAAGCCAGTAGGAAACAGAGACATTAATAATTATACCTTTGAGGTATAGAAGAAATTCTCTGTAGCCAAAAATTTTCCTTGAAGCTTGGGCATGAAAACTGACCCCAGATAACAGTGATAATTGGAACATTTCTCTGTAACTCAGAATCTATAATGATCATTATCTTGTAGTGCAAGGTAATGCAGATTCAGTGGTTCTAAGAGAGTTTGTTACCTTTTCCTTTTTGTAATAGCCTTAGCGCAGCAGATCTGCAATCTGAGAAGTTACCAGTAGCTTGAAGTTCAGAAGTATATTTACTTTTTTCAGCCATAAAACCTAGTGAAAGATTCGATGACTGAGGCAAGTAACCTTTGGGTGTACAAGGATCTATATACATTTCATTGTGAAGAGAGTCAGCAGCTGCATGAAGGTAAGAAAAAACATATTGAGCCATATAACCATATTACTTAACTAACTAGTAAGTCCATATCATCTGTATTGAAGGTAACAGATTCTATGAAAATATCCAACAAAAAACTCACTCAAACAACTTTTTCGGTACATCCCTCATGGATAGGCAATAAATGCCCAAAGTTAAAGAAGACAACTTTTAGAATTAAACATTCAACCCAGCATAAATAGTAAAAACAATTATAACAAATAGGGTTCATACTCAAATCCAGATCTCTTCCTTAAGCTTTAAATTGCAAGAATAACGGAGATGATTAAATTACAATCCAGCATGAGAGAAATTCCTAGTTGGAGTTCAATGCATAATTTTAAGCACTTCTAAGCCTGCAAAACTTTGGCAGAAAGCAAATACAGAAAAACATACCAGGACTGAAATCTCCTTTAAAAAGTGATTCCCTCAATGACTCATGAGCAACATTCTGAAAAAGGAAATGAAAAAAGTTAAAAGCTCCTATGCCAGCCTTGGATTTCTTGACAGAATTTCTAATAACATCTCACAAAACTCACAATGCAAAGCTATATTGAAATAATACTAACACTAGTTAGAAGTTAGATCTGCATTATATCGTTATTGTCACTATCACTTTCAGAATTAATGAACAAAAAACTATTCTCAGTCCACTTGATTTTGGCTCATGAAAAAATCCAAACATATCATTTGAATTGCAAGAAAGTAAAACCAAAGTGTTTTGAAGCCTACATTTGAAACACAACAAACAAAAAAGTAGAAAAATAGCTGATGCATGCAAAGGTTACCTGGCCCAAATGAAGAAAGCTGTGACTATAGAGATTGTAAGTGAAATTCCCAAACTTGATGGAGCGTGAGAACTTAGAAGGCATAAACTCATTTGAGACAAATGTTACCTGAAATAAGTATAACAGCGAGTTAATGGTGATCTTATAAGTGCTTCTCAAATTATATATTAAGTGCACCAAGTAAAGAACATACATAATGCCATCAAATGCATTTGCAATGAGTTGAAGTCATAGCTTCTTGTTCTTTTAACGTCTGTTGCTTTAAGCAGCAGTAATGTCTTTAACAACAATAACTTTTTGCATGTTAATGACTGTTTTTTGGAATGACATCAACTTGTTTTTTTCTGGACAGCCGACAAAATGTAGTTCATAGCTCACACTAAACACCTACTTCATAGTTACAAGTTCAACAAAGAAAGATTTATGGATTATGACATAATCTGAGATATCATTTCTCAATACACAAGAAGTAGCTTCAAAGGATGAAAAATTATGTTTATTAGTAGTAAAAAATAAAACAAGAAATTGCTTCAAGGAACTCTAATGCCTGAGACCATTAATTAGAAGCTCAAATGACTAATAAAATCTGGTGTGGAAAAATCCAATTAACTCGATCAAAACACAGGAGTAAAGATAACAACAAACCTGAGCAGATGCCCCGCCAAGTTCAATAATTCCAGTCGTATCCAGAGGATTACCTCCAAGAGTACCAAGTGCATAGTTTGCAACAACCCAAGCATAGACTCCCTCATCAGAGCCTGAGACAGAAAATTCAAAAATTAGCCTAAAAATATGGATCAGGGATTTGCAACTACAATATAAACACAAGACTGAAATATTTCCGGCCTTGACAGCAGGAGTGATCTTTATTTAAGCCCCGGATACCAAAAAAAGAAGAAAAGCAAAACATGGTCAAGTACTCTAATTCTTACAACTGAAGATGAACTTAAAACTCTTACTACTCTTCTATTCCTATTCACATGTCGGATTCAGAACACAACATATTCAATTACAACCAAAGCAACCCACAATGTATTACCTGTAATAACCGAAGCCCATTCATCGTGAAATTTAAACCCAGACACCCTAAGCACCTTCCTGCACTCCTCTAAAATCTGGTCCTGCAATTCAACATCCAACAATCTCAGCCCCGCCGTCGCCATTAGCCTAATTTCCGTCTCTCCCCACAGTTCTTTTGGAACTTTCTTCCTCCCAAACTCCAGAAGTTCTTCCAAAGAATCCCATACTGCTTCCGGCTGCTCCACGTAAGCTGACAAGCCCGGATTAACTTTCAAGCTATCTGACCCTTCTTTGAAATCGAAAACCAGGTTTTTGCTTCGATCAACTCTGTATCGAAACACGTGGATCCTCGTTCCTGTGCTTCCGCCATCGATTATGATTCCGAATTTTGTGGACTCCGCTGATGAGAAGAGGAAAATGTAACTGAAAACCAATAAAGCGAGGGATACGACGATTGAAACTGCAAAGATGGAAAGGGTCGGCCTGGTTTTACTAGGGTTTCGGGAAAAAAGAGCGGTGGATCGGGAATTGGGTCGGATTTGGAACTTAATCGGATCCATTTCGGGTGCGGTGGCGGTGGGTTTGGGTTTGGAATCGACCCGATTTCGAGCAACCGATCGTCGCATTAAGATATCAACAGTTGGGGAGGAAGCATGTGAATTGTTAAGAACACTAAAGGAAAAGAAATTAAATTATAATCGAAACTGAATAAAACGAAAAGGTGTATTGAAAATGGATTTTTACGGTCCCCCTTCCTTGAATGGGGATTTGATCGGAGAGGAGAGTGTGACTTTCAGAGGTCTCTCTCTCCCCTATCTGATTGTTTTTTTTTCTTTTCCTATTCGTTTTGCTTTTATTTTTCAAGTTTCAATCGTATTTACCAGTACCCGGATTAGGATGGGCACGGGCGGGTATTTTTGCTGCCACGACGACGACGACGACGACGACGACGACGACGACGACGACGACGACGACGACAGTAATAAAATCTTATTTTCATATGCAATGGGGTGAGGGGATGGGGTGAGGTAAGTTAGTAGGTTGTCCTTCGTAGAAGATATCTGGCAGTCAAAAAAATTAAAAAATAAAGATAAAAATCCAATGTATGTATAAATAAATAAATTAATAAATATATAGTTAAACAATCATCATATGCAGTTTTCATACGTGCGCCTGTAATGGGAAGTAATCCCTGCAAATAAGTTTCTGTGTAAAAATCTCTGCATATAGACAATAAAGTAATTCCCGGCTAAATTTAGAAAGAGAAAACATGAAGAGAAAGATACACAGAAGTCATTGATAGCAAGTTATGAGAAGTAATAAAGTTAAATGGGTTAAAACATAAACTAAAGCAACACTACTCCGCTACTCTAATTCTAATCCTTCATAAATTCCAATGACATAAACGAATAAAAAGTAGAAGTCATGGAAATTACTACAGAGGCATTAAAAAGAAGACAGAGTTGCTACACCTTATGGTTGTGACCCACAACTACTCGGCTACCCTAGTCTTAAGTCTCTATAATTTCCTATCAGAGGTCATGTCTTCGGTAAGGGCTAACTCTTTCAAATCTGATCTCAAGCACTCTGACCACTTCCTTCTTGGTCGTCCTCTCATTCTGGCACCCTCGACTGTAATCGACTCTACCCTCCTGACCGCATCCGGCGGTTGTCGCCTAAGGACATGCCCAAACCACCGTAGTCTTCCCTCCCTTAATTTTTCGGATACAGTCACCACCCCTAAGGACATCCTAATTGAAGAGTTTGGTGTCATGTCCCACAGAGTCCTACCACATGCCCATTAAAGCATTCTCATTTCTGCGGCCTCCATCCTCCTTATGTGATCCTTCTTGATTGCCCAACATTCTGATCCATACAGCAGCGCTGGTCTAATTGTCATTCTATAAAATTTTCCCTTAAGTTTTAGAGGCACCTTCTTGTCACACAAAACTCCAGTAGCAGCCATCCACTTTAGCCATCCCTCCTTTATACGGTGTGTAACGTCATCATCTACACTTCCATCTTTATGTATTATAGACCCTAGGTAATTGAAACAATCCTTTGAGGGTAGAACGTGTCCTTCGATGCATACTTCTACATCTTCATCAGTTTGGTTCCCACTGAAGTTTGAACATATATATTCTGTCTTTTCAATATTGATCCTTAGACATTTTTCTTCCAAAGCAGTCTTCCAGATAGTCAATCTACTATTCAACTCAGTTTTTGTTTCAGCAACTAGGACAATGTCGTCAGCGAAAAGCATACACCATGGGACACCGTCTGGTGTCGCACAATAAATGTCGTCCATAATCAAGGCGACGATGTAAGGGCTAATAGCCGACCCCTGGTACAATACGATTTTTTTTATCTTTTTTTTTTCTCGTCCTGAATCTAACCCGATTTTTAGACTAAAAGTACAACCCAAATATATTAATATTTTAAAATAATTAAAATAATATATTTTGTAATAATATATTTTATAATTATTTAATATATTTAAACTGTTAAATTAATGTATTTTATAATATTTATTTTATATTTTTAATAATTAAATAATATATTTTAATAATATAAAAATAAAAATTATTAAAATACTAATTATAATATATATATATATATATATATAATAATCTGGTCGGGTTGGTGATTTTTTACCTTAAACACAGTCTTGCCCCGCCTGCCCCAAATTTTTTTACTATATAATCTGCCCCGCCTGCCCTAAATTTTTTTACTATATAATCTGTCCCGCCTTGAGCCCCGAAAATTAAAAAAAAAACATCCTAATTGGGTCGGAACCTGTCGAGTACAACTATTTTGACCATCCCTAACCGAAAGTGCCATGAAAATTTCCGGTTCGGTTCATTCTTAGAAAAATAAAGGATAAACTACATATATGACCACCCAACTATGACTTGGTCTCAAAATGACCACTTATTTTCAATTTTGCGTCAATAAAACCACTGAACTATTTAAATGCTTTCAATATAGTCACATGTCATTAACATTTAACGGAATAAATTACGTGGCAGTTAATAAAATTAGTATAATTAGGGCACATGTCCTTTTAAAGTTAAGTATTCGTGATGTTGGGACACTGCTTTATTTTCTTCCATTTTGGTCACTACTTATATATGATTTGTTTACTTATATTTTCATTTAATGCAATTCGATCTTGATTATGTTTTTAATTTGTCTAATGCCTTAATTTAAGCCTTAACTTTAAAATCTTTTATTCTAGTCATGTATTAAATTTATAGAATAAATCTCCTAGATTTTAGAATTAATTGTGGAGTCAATTCTCACACTTGTTAACAAAATAATACATATGTTATATAACTTGTTCAGGTTTAAGCAAAAAACAAAATGAAAATAACTTAATTGCATTTGAACCCAAGATCATTTAGTAACCAAACAAAGGCTTAACCAATAGGCTAAATCTAATATTTAGGAATCAATTAAAATATTTTTTATATAGTTAATTATAGGAATAAAAATAGACAATTGGGGACTTAAATCTAGGCCAATTGAGAATATGATGCTAAAATGAATCGAATATATTATTTATAATTAATTTAAGATTTTAATATTTTTTGAATTAAATTTATTTATATTAAGTTTATTTATTAGTGATTTTATATATGAAATTTTATTTAAAATTAAATTAAAATTTTATTTAACATATTGAAACTCACTAGCACAATATAAAATCAAAATCAAAATATAAATTTATAATTTGAATCTTAATTTTTTTTTCTTATGATTATAATTTGAATATTAAATTATTTTTAATGATTTCATATATATATATATATAATCATTAAAAAATAAATATTAAAATAATAAATTTAGTTTAAAATATTAAAATCATAAATAAATTATAAATAAACTATTAGATTTATTTTAGTGATTTAAGTGTTGACATATTCTCAATTGACCTAGATGTAAGTTCTTACTTATCTGTTTTTATTTTTTTATCATTAACTATAAGATATATATACACACACAATATTATAATTAATTTATAAATATTAGAATTAGCTTATTGGATAAGGCTTGTTTCGTTACTAATTCATTTTGAGTTCAAATTCAATTAAGTTGTTTTAACTTCTTTTTTTTTTTGCCTAAATTTGAACTAATTATATAGCATATGTATTATCTCAATAACAAGTGTGAGAATTAGCTCAGTGGTTAAGGCATGCGCAAGTTACCCTTGAGTATTAAAACTTGTCTTCATTTATTTTCACTTCAATTCAAAAGGCGACATGTGTCACCTTTTGATTGGATTGAAAATTTATTAACTTAATTAAATTAAAATTAAATAAAATCCTATAATCATATTGTGACATGTGTCACGAAATGATTGGAGAAATAAATTTATTAAATTAAATTGAAATTAGGATCTAATTAAAAATTAAGAATTAAAGTTAGCTTGGTGATCAAATTTATTAATTCAAAAATCTAGGGGATTTAATCTATAAAGTTAATACATGACTAGAATACAAGATTTTAAAGTTTATGCTCAAATTAAGATATTAGACAAATTAAAAACATAATCAGGATAAAAATGCATTAAATGAAAATACAATGAAACAAATCATATACAAGTAGTGACCAAAATGAAAGAAAACAAAGCAAGATTCCAACGCTGTGAATACGTAAATTTACAAGGACCCACGCCCTTATTATACCAATTTTGTTAACGCCACATAAATACTTTTGTTAAATGTTAACGATAGGTGGCTATATTAAAACCATTTGAATATTTCAGTGGCCATATTGACACAAATTTAAAAATGATGGTCATTTCGAGACCAAACCCATAGTCGGGTGGTCATTTATATAATTTACAGAACATAAATATTTTTACTCCATCTGGCTATTCTTGATATTATTATCGGACCCATTCTAAATTTATTTAGTTAAATAATATTTTTTTTAACAAAAATGTGTTATGTAGGTCGAATTATTCATAAGAAGTGTTTTGTATAACATATTTGGGACTGTTTCTTCTTCCTTCCTTCTTCCATTGTTGGCCATTTTCCTGGTTCTGAAAGATTAGCGACTCTTGAAGAGTTTTTTAGATTAACTCATGTCATTGATTTTGCTGCTACCGCTGCAGTTAGACCGCCTAAAAAACCTGAAATTGTGCATGCAAGATTCGCATCTCGTTTTGTAAGTTGTGATAAGCGAGGTAATATATTGGATCATACACAGATTTCTGTTATTGGCTGAAAATATTGGTCACATTTATGGGATTTTGAGAAGAAGATAGGAGGTAGAATCGATCACTTTGCTCATAAGGGTTTATCTCAACTTTTTCTTTATGGTTAGTAGGTGTTTCACGCTCACCGCACCTGTTGTTGATGAAAGGAATAAGATTGTGGTGGATTTCGGTAGTTTACCCTTAGAGGAGGAAATCGGGTCACTCGGATGGGTCATTTCGGGTTAGGATGTATTCGGTTTAGGTTTGGGTCGGGTCGAGTCAGATCGGGTTTGGGTTCGGGTTTAGTTCGGTCTATTGAAATTAATTTGGGTCGGGTTAAAATCGGATCGGTTGGTTTAGAGTCGGGTTAGTATCGGGTCTGAAAATTGAAAATTGAAAATCAAATTATAATATTTAGAAGTATAAGAATAACTTTATAAATCCTAATAAATTTTAGGATTGATTGTAGTATTAACTCTCTATAATTTTTTTACTTTTATTATAACTATTATCATTTATCATATTTAAAAAATACATATATATATTATTTTTTTATATTATTTTACTAAAACACATTACTTGTTCCCAATTCTCAACCCCAAATTAAAAATTACAAACCCTAAAAAAATTATATTATTTAATTTAATTTTTTAAATTATTTTATATGTGTATTCTAACACACCAAATTTTTTCCAAAATATTTTAATATAATTGAGTTTGACATGCAAGAATAATTCAGTTTTAAATATTTTATTTTATAATCCTTCCTATCAAATAATGTCTTGAAATGATTTAGAAGTTATCGGATATAGAGATGATATTTTAATGGAAGAAATATTATATTGAACTATTAACTAGTTATATAATATAAAATGAGTATAAAATATATATCATTCTACTATTTATCTAATTAATAAAAATGGATAATAATAAATAAATTATTTGTTCACTTAGACTCAATTATCAGGTTAAAATCAGGTCAAATTTTGGATGGGATCGAATATGGGTAAATTAAATTCGGTTTGATTTCAGTTCGGGTTATTTCTAGTTCAGGTTAATTTCGGTTCGGGTAACTTTCAGTTTTGGTTGCTTTCGATTTAGGTTAACTTCAGTTCGGGTTGACTTTGGTTTGGGTTGCTTTAAGTTCAATTATAATTTGGGTCAGTTACGGTTCGATTCGATTTATTTTGGGTTTCAAATCAATTTTAGGTTATCATATTCGAGTCTATATCGGGTCTCGAATCTAGTAAATCGATTCGGGTAATTGGGTACGGGTCAAATTTACTGGTCTATTTACCCCTTCTGATTTGGATGGAGAGTCACAGACGGTGATTGTTGAGAAAGAGAGTCATACAACCAAAGAAGATGATAAAAAGAGTGAGAGTACCTCCTCATCCTTTCATGGTGATTTTTAATATACTCTTAACGTTGGTGTCAAACCTAGGAGATGATGGCTACTTGTAGGTTAAGAAGACGAATAGACCTTATTGTCAATAGATCACATGGGTCTACCAATAATCATGTCAAGAGGGTATAGTTGACCTAAGAATATATAATTTTGGAGACTTCGAAGAACTCCATATGCTTTTAGACTCGAGAGATAGAAAAATAACAACGAAAGTACAACTTGCCAAAGAAACCGAAAAAGGTACATCACAACACAATACAGAGATGTTAACATATACATACATTATTGTAATAATATAAACACACAATTGTACTCACAATACAAACTTTTGTAGGTGTATGAGCGCAACTAAAACATTAACGTGAGTACAATCAATAAAATGAATAATTAATAAAAAAATATAGATTTTAAGATAGACATTTGTCTACCTTGAGCAAAATATGAATCCGCCATTGTATACAATTATGAATTTAGTAAGCAAATTTTAATTAAAATTATCATATAAAAGTAAGAAAAAAACAAATGGACGAAATTTCGAACTTCGTCAAAAGAGTTGAAAAAATAATGATAATAGAACTTCAATATTGACTTCATAGTGTAAACAATACTTGTCGACTTCAGTATGTCGGAGGGAGGTATTTAATCCATGAATGTGAAAGCAATCGCAGTGAAGTGCTGCAAATTCTCAAACTCTCATCTAACCCAATAATTGGTAGACTCCGGGATGGACCTAAACGGATAGTCATCACCTCCTAAAATTTAAAATTACTATATATTTTAGATTTTATCAATATATTTAATATTAAAAATTTGTTTTCGTCCACTAAAATTTTATAACTTCAAGTTCGCTCCACTAACGTAAAATACTACGTCCGTCCCTAGGTATAATTAAAGTCTTAAAAAAACGGTTGATTCCCATAGGTAGCTTTGGCATCTGCTCCCAAGTGTGACCATCTAACTTGATTTTGCAGGTCAAAAGAAATACGTTACACATATTCAAATGTAAATGCAATCACATATATAATCTTTGTAATTCAAATTATTTCATTTACGACTAAGGTTCGAATTATGGTAGACATTGTATATCCTCAACATTCAGTGCTCGGACATTGGTGAGTTGTCCCAATCATTCAACCACACTCCAAACAATAAAAAACTAAAACAGCAATTGCCTGATTGGATTCACACCTAAAAAGAGAGAAAATTTAACAACGATAATGGGGGGCTAAATATGAACATGGAATCGAAATCATGAACGGATACGTTACCTAACATAAACATTTTTGTCATTATCAAGTGTATCTGTCAAAAACCTGCCATTAAATGCCTATAAAAACAGCTCTTATCAACGTTGTATCAATCATTCTCAAACTCCAAACAGTAACTAGAAAAATCAGAGAAGAAATGAGAATGGAGTCCAAGTTTTCATTTTTGATCAATCTTCTGGTTTTACAGTATCTGGCAGTTGTTTGTGTTTCCCAGGATTTTGATTTTTTCTATTTTGTTCAACAAGTGAGTTGTTTGGTTGCTAAGAAAAAAACAGTTTTTTTCCTGGGATTGTTTTGATTTTCCTTTTTTTTTTTTTTTTTGCAGTGGCCAGGATCATACTGTGATTCAGCCAAGAGCAGCTGTTGTTACCCTACAACAGGGAAGCCTGCAGCTGATTTTGGCATACATGGACTTTGGCCTAATTACAACGATGGTTCCTACCCTCAAAACTGTGATTCTGGCAACCCTTTTGATGAACCCAAGGTGGCTTTAACATTTGTTATGTAACCATTTAAAAATAATGCATTAAAGTATCCGATTTCGGTTCCATTAATGTAGTTCGAAACCGTAGCAGATTTCGGACCTCATCGGTAACATGAGAAAGAACTGGCCGACACTGGCCTGTCCGAGCGGCAGCGGCGAAACCTTCTGGTCTCACGAATGGGAGAAACACGGGACCTGTTCCGAGTCCGTCCTCGATCAACACGGCTACTTCGAAACAACACTCGGGTTAAAGCAACAAACCAAACTCCTCCAGGCTCTCAAAACCGCAGGTAAAACATTTACCAGAAAACCGATTACAGTTTATTAAACGGACCCTCATTTTCTTCTAAAAAAATCCGGGTTTTTAGGGATCAATCCGGATGGAAGCACATACAGCTTGGAGAACATCAAGGATGCGATCAAAGAAGGGACGGGGTACACGCCATGGATCGAGTGCAACCGGGATTCCTCTGGGAACAGCCAGCTTTACCAGGTGTATCTGTGCCTCGACAATTCAGGGTCTGGCCTCATTGAGTGCCCTGTTTTCCCTAGAGGGGGGAAATGTGGGCCTGAGATCGAATTCCCTTCCTTCTAATCTCTCTGCTGTATTACTGAATTTGTAATTTGTTTGATTTGCTCATGCTGTCTGTCATATAAATTATCAGCTCCATCGTCTTGTATTTTACTGTTGAAATGCCAGCTCAAGTTATATATTGCCTCCATGGATTCATACAATGAAGACAGTGCTTTTTCCCTCATTAACGGGGTTCAATATGAACGTGGAATTGAGCCGACACATAGCGAACATAAAAATCTGTAATTATCACATGCACCCGTCAGAAATTGAGGATATCCGGCTCCAGATTCCGATTCCAAAAACCTTGCATGAAAAATCCCTTAAAAACAGCTTTGAATGGGAACATGAACATTCTCAAACTCGTTAAACAAACTAGAAAAATCAGAGGAAAAAATAAAAAGGGAGTCCAAGTTATGGGTAAAGTACACAAATAGTCCCCGATTATAGGATATACTTTATTAAGTCCTTGATTATTAAAAGTTACAAAATGGTCCTCTGACTATATAGTCTTTTGTTGAGTCTCTCGACTGTTAAAAGTTACAAAATGGCTATCCGACTGTTCATTAGGTTCCAAACTAATTATTTTTCGTTAAAAATTTGACGGTATTCTGTGCTAAACTTTAATCTACTGATAAATATGATCCGAGAATCTCAAACGGCTATCATATTCAATCATTATGTTAACGTCTAGTTCAGACGATCGTCAACAAAGAAACACTCTATAATTGGAGGACCATTTGTAATTTTTAATAATCAATAGATTTAATAAAGTAGTATCCTATAGTCGAGTGATCATTTGTGTACTTTACGCTATTTTTTTTTATCAATCTTCTGGATTGATTCAAGTGAAGAGATTTTCTAGTGTTTTTTTTCCTATTCTTTTGGCAATAATGATATGCAGAGTGCTGAAGAGTTTATGTATTAATATAATATGAATATGAGATGATTTTTATTTTTTTTATTGGTAGATTATATAAAATATGAAAATATAATTATAATAGTATTAGTTATTAGGGTAAATTATTCTATTGGTTATCACTTTTAATTTGATTTCAATCAAGTCGATGATCTTAATGAGATTCTTGATAATCAATAGAATATTTGATTTCAACCGTCCAAAATTTTGAATTCTTATTATTTTAGATATTTTGTTTATATTTTTTATTGATTATTTATTTTTATCCAATAAAACTTTATAAGTTTATCATCCTTAAAATATGGCTTAATTATAAAACAAGTGTCTAAATTATACCTTTTTTCAAATAGATGTCTAAACTTTTTTTTAATCATCCAAGTGCTAACGTTATAAACGTGACCATTTTAGGTGTTCATGATGTAACTGCCGTTTAAAAACTTCATTAAGTGACACGTGTGATGCTATGGTAATTTTGAAATTTTTTATTTAAAATAGAAACGTTACAAATATAATTTTATTTAAAAAAAGCCGAAGAACTTTTGAAAATCTAAAAAAAACCAAAACTTTGAAAACCTTTATGCCAACCCCTATACCTACACTGACCACCAAAGTTTGTCGTCGTTGCCATTGACGAACCACCAGTCAACTGGTCTGCCACCGACGAAATAACCACTCAAAGAACCCCTAATCGATGATTTAAACATGATGAACCCTAAAGTAAAATTGTGAAATTGAAGCCCGATGACTCTGATGGCAACCACGAAGGAATGGGCGAGGACAACTGACAATGGAGGCAGTAAGGACGGTGTCGGCACCGACGACTGTGGTCAGCAAGGGAGGTTAATGTTAGGGTTAGAGATTTGAGATTTTTAGGAACTTTAGGTTTTTTTTTTGTAATTCTAGAAAAAAATAGGTTTTTTATAAATATAATATTTTTTATTTTTTTTAAGTTTTCAAAATTACCAGAGCGTGACATGTGTCATTTAACGACAATTACGGTCCGAACACCTAAAGTAGTAACGTTCGTAACATTAAGTACCAAGATAATTCAAAAAAAATTAAACACTTATTGAAAAAACGATATAATTTAAACACTTATTTTACAATTAAGCCTTAAAATATTATAAGTTTGCCCCTTTAATCTTCTTGTTTACGTATTTATATGCACGTCATGGATAGAGGGGATACCTTTTAGACACGTTTGAAAGTTACTGCATTTTTACTTCTTTAATTTGCTCGTATATAGGGTTTGTGATTTAAATTCTCAGCTCATGGTTTGTGTTTTACGATTGAAACTGCTGATCATCCAAATGCAGCTTCAAGTGATTTAAAATATTATTGTGGTATGAACATCATGGGGCCAAGGCTCCCTTTGGCTCCCGCCATTTAAAATTAATTAATATTAAAAATATTTTTTTTTGAAAAAAAAAAAAATTACAGCCACCCATCAACTAAAAACTATAATTATGAAATATAAAAAATATTTTAACCCCTATTATAATAAATTTTTAGTCCACCCCTATTTAATACTCATGGCAATGACAAGCATATGCTGCCATGAATATTCCATGCCCTTAACCACCTTCTTGCCTTATAAATACATCCTTCTGTCAAAACCCTACCTTCATCATTTGTTTCAGACAGAGAAAAAATCCCTCTGAAAACATGAAACTCTTCACATGTTCAATCGTTCTCATAAACCTTCTCGTACTGCAATCCTTTTCGGTTCTTTGTTTCTCACAAGATTTTGATTTCTTCTACTTTGTTCAACAGGTAAATGAACACGATGAAACCATTTTTCTATTATATATATCTATCTATCTGTTTATCTATTTATCGTGTTTTGGAGTTTGAGTTATGATATCGGTTCATGTTTATCGTACAGTGGCCTGGATCTTACTGCGATTCGAAGCAGCGTTGTTGTTATCCGAAGACAGGGAAGCCTGCCGCAGATTTTGGGATCCATGGACTCTGGCCTAACTACAACGACGGCGGCTACCCTTCCAATTGCGATCCCGACTCTCGTTTCGACAGATCCGAGGTACAATATATTTGTCACACTATTCAGAAGTGATGGCCAAAAATAAATTCTCGTATTCATATTCGAAACCTCTAAAAATAATAATTATTGCTTTAATTACGGAAGTTGCTTGAATCGTAATATATATAAATTTATATGGTTAGCTAATAAAAATACTTTTCTTACACGACAACAACTACCCATTTCGTTGCTTTCCATGTTGTTGGGAGTGCGACCAGACCACCCAACTTATGTTTCGATCTGGTTCCAATGTCTTTCTCAACTTAAATTAATACCAATTGCACCCAAATTCCCAATTATTTATCCACATTATACTTTTTCAACATATTGTTTATTCACACTAATACTAAATTATCATTTACACGACAAATAGATCTCAGATCTGATTCGGACAATGGAGAAGGAATGGCCCACTCTTTCATGTCCCAGCAACGACGGAATCAAGTTCTGGACTCACGAATGGGTCAAGCACGGGACTTGCTCCGAATCCGAACTCGGCCGACGTCAGTACTTCGAGGCGGCAATCGCGTTGAAAAGAAAGGCCAACCTCCTCGACGCTTTAACGAATGCGGGTACATTCAGAATTCATTTTCTTTCACTCGAATTCGGGTTTTGAGTCGCGTTGAATGTGAATATCGGATTAACGAGCTCGATGTGAAATTCGTGTTTGTAGGAATCAAACCAAACGATGAATTCTATAAAATCGAGGACTTTAGGGATGCTATAAATGAAGCGATTGGGTATACCCCGGGCATTGAGTGCAATGTGGATCCATCCGGCAACAGTCAACTTTATCAAGTTTACTTGTGTGTTGACACTTCTGGGTCCGATTTCATCGAGTGCCCTTTGTTACCAAGGGCTAGATGTGGTTCAAGCATCCAGTTTCCCAAGTTTTAATATTTTAGTCCAAATGTTTCAAATTTTATAGTTAATTTATTCACATGATCGTTCGTTATCATCCGATAAAATCTTCGTAATTCGTAATAAGAAAAAGAGTTTGTGTATCTTATAATGTAATTTATCTATCGAATGAATTTTAAAATTTCGTTTGAATTAATGTAGTTTTTTTGTGGATTGGACAATTTAATTTAATCATTATATTGTATGATCACATCGATAAATAAGATAAATCTAAACTTGTATCATAATAAATTTAGAAAAAATAACTTAAAATAAGACAAAATTATAAAAGTAGTCACTAAACTTTTAGTGTATTTGTATTTTGATCATTGAACATTTAATTCACTTTCATTACTGTCACTAGTGTTAATATCAAACGCCCGTTGAGAAATGCTAGGAAATTAACAGTTTCCTTTTGCATGTGCCATCACCATCCGACATTTTTACGATATTGTCGTCACTAAATGCAACACTCGTCTTACTCGAGAGCTTTACCATCATTTCATTAAGTCTCAAACACAACTGAAACTCTCCCACCTTACTAATGTAGTTGAGAATGACTTGTTTGCGTAAGGAAAGATTCTTGCTATCTCAATGTAAGTCCCGTCCCATATATACCTTTCAGATAATAAGATGCCTATAGAAGGTGAGTTTATCTAGACTGCTACCTTACTGAGCCAACCTACTATGTATTTTAAAGAGTTTAACGATTAATCTCATATTTGACCAACAATAATTCATCCAATTAAAATTATTTTAAATAAATATCAGATGGTCACGACATAAGTAAAAAAAATTGACTATTGCCATTAGTATAAAAAAACATAGGTTTTATGATAAAATATGATTCTAACGTATCATATCAACATTTTTTAAAAACAGCTGATGATATTAATCGTAATAAAAGTGAATTAAAAGTCCAATGAATGTATTATAAGTTTGATGATTAAAATACAATCATCCTAAAATTTTGTGATTTTTTTGGGTTTATCCTTACACTAAATATAAAAAATACATTCAATTAACCCGTGATAAAATTTGAATATAAACTTTTTATCAATTTTATTCTTGAAGTTATTTAATTTTATCAATATTTATCTTGACGTCTTAACTAACAGAACTGTTAATTTTGTTGATGTAACACCAAAAATTTTTATATTAACAAATTGATGACGTGACTCTATAATAATATGGGATTTAATAAAAAAATATTTTAAATATGTCCTAAAATATTTAAAATATTTTTATATCAAAAAAATCACCAAAAATTATATTTACATGTATAGGATTATATCATGAAATAATATATTGTAATAAGGAAATGGTTGTCCCTTGTTCCCATATGTAATGGATTAAAGGGAAATAAGATAGTAGGTTATCCCAACACGAGTAACTTCCGTAAAATACCTCCGAATTATGAAATACTTACATTGTGCTCTATAACTGAACTGGATAATCACAAATGCTGGAAGTAGTTACATAAATTCCCGGATTCAGCTCATTAAATTGTACGGTACCAGTAATAACCAACTAGAAGATGGATGTTGCATCAGAAAAGTTGATATTCCGGTCCGATCAACTTGTAACAATGGGGTTTCCCGAAGCATCCAGATCGATAACAGTCATTTCACCGCTTGTAATCTCCAATTAGGAGGGCTTCCCTCAGGGGTTTCTTGAAGCATCCAGATCGATAACAGCCAATTCATGATACTTTTTTTTAATACAAGGACGGAAACAAAACAACACCAGTTGTTTAACAAAACTTAAATTGAACCATTAAAACTACCTCAAAAACAAACAAAGCTATAATTAGATCTCCTTAAAAAAAGGAGAACAAAATTTCAGTAAAAAATCATAAATATTAAAAAAAATAAAGAAAGCTTACAAGGAACAAAACTTACTGGATTCAATCAATGAAACGAAACATGAAGTATAAATGAGATCTATGCGGCGACGAATGGAGGTGTCTTACTTCAAAGGAGTCGAGAAGTTTTTCCAAGATCTACAACAAACGACGATGATTTGGAGAAACGGACTTCAGATCCATGATCAAGAGGTCAAAGCGAGCCAACTGGTGAATTTTGGTCTTGATCGACCACTGACGACGGCAGCCAACGCGGTGGAGCAACTATGCCTGAGATAGAAAGCACGGGTGGAAAGGGAAAGAAATAAAGTGAAAAAATATTAAAATGGTTGCTTCCAAAACTAAGTAGTTTTGGGTGGTAGGAAAAAAATGAGAAATCACAACTTCAATCCTCTAAAAAAAAGGAAAAATCACAATTCCAATCCTCTGACGTGAAACATTTGACGTCCGTGTAAGCAAAAACTAACGATGATTTTTTACATATACAAAGACTCCTAACGAGGATTTTAAAGTGGTTCTGGATCGATCTGATAGCAAATTTGATTTTGGTCGATGAGTATATTTTTTGCATACACAAATATTCGAGCCTGAGACATTACTTAAACGATATCAATCTACTTATTATCTGAATTTGGATTGGATTTTAAAGTGGTTCTCAAACTTTAAATTATTCTAATAGATTCTTCAAATTATCAACATTGTTTTAATTAGATAATTTAGTTAGTCTAATCATCATTTTATTGTTAAATATCGTTTAGATATGATAAGTAGTATATTTGAAACACATTAATCAAATTTTAAAAATTATGCCTCTACTGCCACGGGTGTGCAAAAAGAACAATTGATTGATCCGGTTATTCGATCTAAAAATTCGGATATCCAATTCATTTTTTATTTTTGGATAATTCAAATCGGATATCTAAAAAAAATCGAATAATCGGATAAGATACAGATCATATAAATTTCAATTTTGAATTATCCGAAAAACTAAAAATATATTAGACTTTTAGATTTTGGATACCCTTAAACCCAATAAATGAGTAAACCACTAACCTATTAAAGTTGTAACCCAATAAAAACTATGATATTTAATTATTTATTGTGTATGAGTAATTGAATATATACAAAAAAATATAATAGAAGTATTAAATAAGTTACATTCAATCATAAAATTTAAAATTATTTTTGTCAAATTAAATTTTAAATTCAATTCAGATATTCAAATATATGATTTTTTTCAAATAAGATACGAATCACTATTTTAGTTATCTAAAATTTTCAGATATTTAAATTTTTGGATAAAATCATATCCGATATCCGAATTTACATACATATCTCCTATATTTGCATCTTTAATTTGATGCGTTAAAAGAAAGAAAATAATTCTACCGGAAATTTAATATCATAATCTATTTTGTGATATGTCATATTATTATGTCAATGCACCATGTCTAAACGTATTTGAAATTCGACATCATATATCTTAAATATATTTAAAGTTAGATATGAACTAACATTTAATGTTTAAGTATATTTTTATTAAGTTAAGGTGATTACATAATAGTATTTGTTCTAAGTATTCTCAATTATTTGACAATAAACGCTCAATCACCCTTCTACAGCTGTTGGTACTCGAACCCGTGACTTTTAAAATTAACAACAATTCCTTTAATAATTGAGGTAAGTTAATTCGTGCACATTCAATGTTAAAGTAAATTGCTAGATTGATCGAAAGATTTTATATGAAATTAATAGTTGAACAACTAAATTACAATATTTTAAAATTTAAAGATCGATTAAAATCCAAACATAAACGATATTAATCCAATTAATTAACTTTTTTTCATAAAGTTAGATATAAGTGATCTAACAACATTAAACATGACATCAAAATAAAAAATATGAATACAAATATAAAATAACTTTTAATAAGCTTTCTAGGTACTAATTAATAGATTTGGTATGAGGCAACATAGGAGAGGTGAAGTATTGCTTTCGAATTGATTAAGCTCTTACGTTACTTAAAATATTCATTCATTGTCGGCATTTCACGGTATTTGTCTTAGTTTTACTCTTTAACTCCTCCGTTACTTTCTTATTTTTGGATTTTACCCCACGTTTTCTCTTTCTCTCTTTTCGCTTTCTCCGTTACTAAAAATACAACGATTTCATGAAAAATAAAGATTCATTATAAAATTCAATTAAAAATTAGAAACAAATTATTAAATATAATATTATAAACTAAATTTAGGGTAAATTACATCATTCCTCACTCACTTTACTTTTCTCTCCTATTTTACTCACTATACTTTCAAATTTTCTATTTTGTTCATTGAACTTTACAGATTGAATTATTTTGTTCACTCTGCCATTAATTTTTAACGATGTTATGACATGACACAAGCATCAAAACGTTGTTAAAAAACTCAAATATACACCAAAACGACGTCATTTCGAGACCTCTTTTTTCCCCCACACCGTCGACCGTGTAGATAGTGGCCATTCGGTCTCAAAATTCATGGGTCGGTTCACCTCGACCCACTGAGTCCGAATCTGGTGGTTGTTTCACCAATAAATGTCCCAAAATCGTGATCTCGACTGAAATGTTTCGACTTCATCACTTGCAATCTTCAATTGTGGACTTTAGAACAAGTTTTGACAAAATGAGGTCGGATTCGGACTCAAGGTGTTGAGGCGAAGCGACCTATGAAATTTGAGACCGAACGGCCACCATCTACTGTGGTCGATGGTGGCATCTGACCACCTTCTGTTTTTATTTTATAGTTGTGTGAACAAAATATGAGAGATAGTAAAGTTCAATGAGAAACGGTGTAATTTATCCTTTATATTTTCAATTATTTTATATTAAATAATAATAAAAAATGATACGTCATCACAACGTTAGAGATATAACAGCAGAATGAGTAAAATGATATAATCTGTGCAGTATGGTGAGTAAAATAGGAAGAAGTAAAGCTCAGTGAATAACAATGTAATTTACCCTTAAATTTATCATTATATTCCAAGAAAACAAAAAGGAAGAGAAAGCAGCCGACAGTTCGCCACGTGTACATATATCATTAGGCATTCCAGTCAAGGTCTAATCAGCGGATGCTAGTAAAGGTGAAAGGCGAAAGGGCAAAAAAAAAAAAGAAAAAAAAAGAGGAAAGGAAATGTAAAAAATAAAAATAAAAAATAAAAAAGGGTTTTATGCTATTTAATTGATTTTAGGGAGATTAAAAAGAAAAGAAAATTACAAGTCAGTCAACAAACGCAAAAACTCTGCTGTTTCCTTCCCTTGGGAAGACCGGGAACGGTTCTATATCCCACCGTTGAGCTTTAAACGACCTCAAAGTTCAAAAAACAAAGCCCACAACGACAGAGATCCGAATTCTGTTTCCGAAAGCTTTATCTTCAGATTCTGTCTTCGTAGGCAAGCTTCAATCTTTGATCTCGCTGGAACTTGTGGTATTTCTTCTTCATTTTTGCTTACAGTGTTCATTTTTAGTTCAGCTTTTTGTTTAAAATGTTTTACACAGAAATGCTTTTTATTCAGTTATTTTAATCAATTTTCGCTTTTGATCTTCGCGTTTGCGTTGTTAAGTTTAGATTTAGTTCAATGTGCTTGGATCTGTCTCGAAACTTCTTGTTTTCGGTTGTTGTTTGGTGCATTTTTTTTTAGTTTGGTTTGCGGGAAAACATGAGCTAATTAGAAGATGAGGAGGGAACTGATTTTTTTTTCTTATCTTTCGTTTTTCTTATGGGACTTTGACAGTTTGATTGTTTCAATTATAGTATGGTAGCAAATTAGCAATTGTGCTAAGTTCCGGCAGGGAAAAGATCATACAGTTGAATCCGAGATTTGATTGACAAAAAATTCGGAATTTTCTTTCTTTTTTCCTACATTTTCTCGCGTGCCAATCATAGCTGTAATGAGTAATGACGGTTAATTTTCATTTTATTTATTTAAAATTTTCCCCAGCCAAAGCCAATTCTGATACGGCAATGACATTTTCGCGTTGTATAAAGAACGATTTTATGACTTTTGATATAAAATGATAATAAATTCATGTCTATAGTTTCCGTTAAAGAAAATATAATTTACGGTTTCTCCGGGGCAGAATTATAATTTATAACAAGAAATAATTTATTCTTTGAAGTTTTAAGTTCTCGTTTGCTATAGTTATGCGTCTCTAGTTTTATTTAGTCATCTTATATAATTTTATGTGTACAAAGTTTCTAGTTTGTTTCAGTCAACATGAATACAATATATCCATTGAAAGAGTAGGCTCAACAACTCCCTCCAAAAGAGCAATTGGGGTGAGACAGCTTTATACATTTGACTAGTACATCTTGTTTGTATTCGGTGGCTGCTGCGAATTGGTTATTGTTTGCTTGGGGAAAATGTTAGTTTAGTGTTTTATAAGTTATAATGATGGTACTGATGTTTATGAAATGTCTGACTCTTGTCTCGGGATGAACTTGGTATAGCTTATCAACTTTGTAAGCGGAAAAAGTCGATGGCCAGGTCTTCGGTTTGATTTGCTTTAGTTTTTGGAGTTGTGTGCTTGTTTATTCTGTTGAACTGTTTCTCGTTTTATTAGTATTATGGATGTGTTGCTTCTTTTTAGTGGCAAAACTTGATGCATTTTCTAATGGGCTGATTGGTTTCATTTTCTCTCAGTGTGATAATCTTATGCCCGATGCATGACAATGATTATTTCATGAAAGTGCTTCATGGCTGAAGAGGTTTCAAGCTTTTAAGCCAAAAGGTGATGCCTGCAAATTTTGGTTGTTGGCTCAGTTGGACGGCAGGTTGAAAATGAAAGCTGAAACACCCCATTTGAAGAGGTGAAATGATCATTCAGCTTTTAATCTTAGACTGTTGACTGTCTGTCCAAAGTGCATCCATATTCTAACTCTTAATTATTTTGCAAATAAACTAACTTATTTTCCAGTTGTTTGCAAAAACACTGATGTGGCTGTATGATTGGCAGAATGAAGAAATGGTATGGTGGTGCTGTAGTTGCATCTCTGTTTATGTTGCTGCTGCTGAGATATGGTTTTATGAAAAATCCTGTTGAAGAAAGCTACTTGATGAATCCCTTCTCTTCTAATGGAACCAATCCACTTGAATGGGTGCGTTTTACAGCTCCACCTGCACTTCAGAATCCAGGAAATGCTTCTCAAGTAATTTCCTTTGATATCATAGCCTTAAGTCTCTTTGCTCAAAGGAACCTCTCCAAGGGAGAGCAACATTCTTTGCTCGCCTGGAATTTGTTGAAGAACTTAATTAATCATTCTCATGCTTTGCCAAATGGAGTAGAGGCTATCAAGGAAGCTGGAAGTGCATGGAATAGCTTGATGGCTTCAGTCGAAGAGGAAAAGCTTGGTTATGTGAATGATAATTCATCTAGAAAAGCAAAAGAGAAGCAATGTCCCCAGTTTCTTAATAAAATAAATGCTACAGAACCTGAGAGTCACTTCAAGTTACGAGTTCCTTGTGGCCTAACTCAAGGTTCTTCCATTACAATCATTGGCATTCCAAATGGTGTTCTTGGTGATTTTCGTATTGATTTAACAGGGGAAGCACTTCCTGGGGAGCCTGATCCACCAATAATTTTGCATTACAACGTTAGACTTCATGGGGATAAGATAACCGAGGACCCGGTAATTGTGCAAAACACCTGGACCTTAGCTCATGATTGGGGTGAAGAGGAGCGTTGTCCTCCAGAAACATCTGAAAAGAATAATAAAGGTAGAAAGACTCGTTACATCTTTTTGATACTTTTAGTGCCAAAAATTTAGTGTTTTTCCTCTTGTTTTATGTTAAATTAAGGTTCGTGTAATTTTTCCTCTCTTCTGGATAACTCATTAAAGGACTCCGAAAGTTTCATTAACTTCAAAGGTTCGTCAACTTATTGTCTTCAAGCTTTGTCTAGCATGAAACTCTATGCTTAATGAAATCAATTAATAGCTAGCTACAAAAGTGTTTTACCTTCATTGTGTGCAATGAAATAGAATATTTCCACCTCATGTAAATTTCCACTTATTTATTTCTACAGTGGATGAGTTGGAGCAATGCAATAAGTTTGTGGGTAAAGATAATAACCTGACGGTAAGAGTGCACTCCCATGGTTCAAGGAAGTCTTCAATGGGGCTGCTAGGGATTAAATCCAGAAGATATTTTCCTTTTAAGCAAGGTTCTCTTTTCGTTGCAACGCTTAGAGTAGGATCGGAGGGAGTACAGATGGCAGTTGATGGGAAGCACATAACATCCTTTGCTTACCGAGAAGTAATTTCTTAATCCTCATCTTTTAGAATTTGTTCAATAATTAATAGTTTTTAAGCTAAATGGCTTTTTTGCTGCTCTTATGTTCAGACATTGGAGCCATGGCTTGTTAGTGAGGTTAGAATTTCTGGAGATGTGAAATTAATCTCTGTGCTGGCTGGTGGTTTACCCACTTCAGAGGATTCAGACCATACAGTTGATATAGAAGCACTTAAATCAGTTCCTCTTTCTCTTCACAGACCCGTAGATCTCTTTATTGGTGTTTTCTCTACAGCCAATAATTTTAAAAGAAGAATGGCTGTGAGAAGAACATGGATGCAGTATCCCGAAGTTCGATCTGGGACTGTTGTAGTGCGCTTTTTTGTTGGTTTGGTAAAGTCTCCTTGTGAATTTCTCTCATTCAAAATAGCTCTAATTTGGATGCTTGGGTAATTCTAGTTCTATCATAGTAAGGGAGAATCATTCTCTTCAAGCAATACATGGTTGAATAAATGGTTCTTAATCTCGATCATGTTCTCAGTCCATCATTGCATCTCTAGAATGCTTATGATTTTATGCCAGAAGCATTAACTGCTGTTAGAGGTCTCCATCTGGGACAGTATTAATCATGTTCTCGGTTTTTAGATCTTATTCTTTTAAATATAATAAAATAGTTAAGATTGTTACCAAAAAAATAGATTGACAGTTAGGAAACTTTGGTGCCAAAATCTGAATTGTGTCTATCTTGAAACTATTTTTGAGTTTGTGGTTTTAAGTTTTATGGTTATCTAAGCCTCTTACATAATAACTTAACGAATTTGAGATGGTCTGCAGCATAAAAACCATATTGTGAATGATGAACTATGGAATGAAGCACGGACATATGGAGACGTACAGCTGATGCCTTTTGTTGATTACTACAGCCTGATCGCCTGGAAAACTTTAGCTATTTGCACCTTTGGGGTAAGTCTTGTTCCCTTTGTTTGAATATGCAAAATTGTCCATTTTCTTAGAGTTCATCTCTCCTACAGACACAAGTTGTTTCTGGAAAGTTTGTTATGAAGACTGATGATGATGCATTTGTTCGTTTGGACGAAGTAATGGCTTCATTAATCAGGATAAATGTGACTCATGGATTGCTTTATGGACTCATTAACTCAGATTCCCAACCTCATCGCAGTACAGATAGCAAGTGGTATATTAGCCCCGAGGTAATTCTTCACTCAATTCCCTCAAAATTTTGTTTGATATGAGCACTGATTTGAATCAAGAACTGTGCTAGCTTCTGTTAATTTGCATCATCTTCATGTTAGCTACAAATCACCATTATATTTAGCCGGAATCGGATAAAAATTACCTTCCGCTGCTTACTATGTTCTTGCTATCATTTCCAATGAAGGAATGGTCCGAAGATAGGTACCCACCTTGGGCACATGGTCCTGGTTATGTGGTGTCCAACGACATAGCGAAGGCTGTTTACAAGAGGTTCAATGAATTACGCTTAAAGGTACAACGAAACTTTTTGACCACCTCCTATTTTTGTTGTTTTGATTAATGCAAAACAGTCACCCCGCAAATGTTGAACAAATATTTCGTGTAAACAACAGATGTTCAAGCTCGAAGATGTGGCGATGGGGATTTGGATCGCAGATATGATAAAAGACGGTTTAGAAGTCCGGTATGAGAAGGAAGAGAGGATCTTCAACGAGGGTTGCAAGGATGGTTATGTCATTGCTCACTATCAAGGTCCAAGAGAGATGATGTGCTTATGGCAGAAACGCCAGGAGACAAAAAGAGCTATGTGCTGTGGCAATTCTTAAGGCATGCAATGGTTCCTTTGAGATTCTTTGACGAACGAAAACCGACGACTACATTTCACAACCAGCACTTTCCCGGTGCTAACTTTAACTCGACCGGAAATGGCGGAGGAAACCGATCAGCCATTATTGGCTCGATTGATACGGCTCAGGAAAATCAGAGTAAGAGAAGGTGTTTTGGTGGTCCTTTTGTTTCTTTTATTCTTTTAAAGTTCTTTTGATAGTAATGTTGATGGGGTCACTGATTATATATTATTGTGTAATAAGAAATCCTTTTTGTAGGGCATAGATAGTAACCTACATAAGTGATTAGGAAACGGTAGATTGATACCTTGTATAGAGAAGCCGTTGCATTAAAATTTACGTTTAACGAGTATGTGCACGTTATCGATAGACTAAAAAAATATTTTAAACATATATTACGTTATAATTATACGTTGGTGACATGCATTTACACAAACAAATGTCATATCAATAAAGACACGTTCTATTAAACGTACTGTCTTAAATATATCCTATTAAAATTGAAAAAATTCGTAGCCGACTGAAAATCAAACCTTTTTGCTTTTATTTAGAATGTTCAATATTAGGTTGAATTAAATTTTAAAAAATAAAAATGAATAGAGCTTACGGTTTCCTCAAAGCAAAAAATAAAAAAAAAAAAATAATCAAAGACAAGCTGGACAACAAGACACGTGGCATTAAAAACATAGTTGATATCAGCACATTAGCAACCCCAACTGAAATCGACTTGCCTTTGGTTGGTTTTGGTTTAAAGCGATAACCTATAAACATTATTAAAAAAAAGTAAAATATACAAATTATTCCCTACTATAAAATATTATTTTATAAAGAGTTATTTTATTGAGTGTAAGGGCGGATGCATATGGCCCCTCAAGGGACCAAATGTATATGCATACCTATTGTTTTAGATAAGATATTAAATATAGTTTAATATATTAAAGGAATAAAAAAAATAAGAAATTTTGCATATTAACAACAACAACAACAACAAAACCCTATTCTCATATGCAATGGGATAAGGGGAGGTAGGGTAGTAGGCTGCCCCCAATGCCAGGATTGAGAGCAGCTTCCATGGGAGACATCCGACAGTCAGAAAATTAAAAATAAAGATAAAATGCAATGCATGTATAAATAAATAAATAAATACATAGTTGAACAGTCTTCATATGCGCGTCTGTAATGGGAATTAATCCATGCATAAAAATCTCTGCATATAGACAGAAACGTAAGACCCGACTAAATTTAAAAAGAGGAAACCTGAAGAGAATGATACACAATAGTCAACGATAGCAAGCTACGATAAGGAATAAAGTCAAATGGGTGACAACCAAAACTAAGACAACACTACTCCGCTACCCCAGTTCTAAGCCTTTATAAATTCTAATGACATAAACGTATATAAAGTATAAGTCATGGAAATTATTACAAAGGCATTAAAAAGAAGACATATATGTTACACCCTATGACTTTGACCCGCACTACTTGGCTACCCTGGTCTTAAGTCTCCATACTTTCCTATCAGAGGTTATGTCCTCGATAATGGCTAAATCATTCAAATCAGATCTCAAGCAGTCTTCCCACTTCCGCCTTGGTCGTCCTCTCCTCCTGGCACCGTCGAATGTAATCGACTCTACCCTCCTGACCGCATCCGATGGTTGTCGCCTAAGGACATGCCCAAACCATCGTAGTCTTCTCTCCCTCAATTTTTCGGATACATGCACCACCCCCAAGGACATCCTAATAGCATAGTTTGGTGTCATGTCCTACAGAGTCCTACCACATGTCCATTGAAACATTCTCATTTCTGCGGCCTCCATCCTCCTTACTGATTGCCCAACATTATGATCTATACAACAACGTTGGTTTTAGTGTCATTCTATAAAACTCCAATAGCAGCCCTCCACTTTAGTCATCCCGCCTTTATACGATGTGTAACGTCATCATCTATACCCCTATCTTTATGTATCATAGACCCTAGGTACTTGAAACATTCCTTTGAGGGGATAACGTGACCTTCTATGCATACTTCTACATCTTCATTGTTTTGGTTCCCACTGGAGTTTGAACATAAATACTCTGTCTTTTCAATATTGATCCTTAGACCTTTTTCTTCCAAAGTCGTCTTCCATGCAGCTAGTCTACTATTCAGCTCAGTTTTTGTTTTAGCAACTAGGACAATGTCATCAGCGAAAAGCATACACCATGGAACACTGTCTGGAGTCGCAAATAGATGTTGTCCATAATCAAGGCGAAGATGTAAGGGCTAAGAGCCGACCACTGGTGGAGTCCGATTTCCACCGAGAAAGCCTCGGTGTCGCCAACTGTAGTCCTGACGTAAGTAGTAGATCTACAGTACATATCACGAATCGCCCGAATATAAGCAGTTGGGATCCGTCTCGTTTCTAAGGTCTTCCATATCGTATCGCGTGGAACGCTATCATACACCTTCTCAAGGTCAATGAACGCCATGTGAAGATCTCTATTTTTCCCTATATTTCTCCATAAGCCGTCAAAGTAGATGAATCGCCTCCGTAGTAGATCTGTCTGGCATAAAGCCAAATTAGTTTTCCGAAACCCTAGCCACCTATCTCAACCTAGCCTCTATCATCCTTTCTCATAGCTTTATGGTATGGCTGAGTAGTTTAATACCTCTGTAGTTGCCACAACGTTGAGATCTCCTTTATTCTTATAGATTGATATCATCGTAGACTCTCTCCACTCCTCTAACATCTTGGTAGTCTCTAAAATTATATTAAAGATTTTGCATATTCATTATATTAAAAAATATTAGATTTTTTTGACCCCATTTTTAAATTTCTAGATCCGACACTGGTTGAGTCCCTCGACTATTGAAACTTATAAAATGATCGCTTGACTATTTATTATGTTCCAAACACATTCTTTTATGTTAAAAAATTAACGTTCGTCTGGGTTGAACGTTAACATGTTGAATGAGATATGATAGTCGTTTGAGATTATGAGATCATATTTTAACATATCTCAGTCAACAGGTTAATATACAGCTCAAGTTGTCATCAAATTATTAACGGAAAATGACAAGTTTAGAATATAATGAATAGTTAAGTGATCATTTTGTAACTTTTAATAATTAAGGGACTGAATAAAATAAATCTCTCAATCAAAGAACCATTTTATAATTTTTAATAATAAATATAATTAATAAAACAATATGATGGTAAACTATTCATGTACTTTACCCTTAAAAACAATTAACATAATCAAATTCAAATTCAAAGACATTAATTGTTATCTCACTCAACGTGTTTTGTAAGTGATAACAGTTTCTCATTAAACATTAATCAACATTCCAGATCTTTCCACAACCTTCTTCACAAATCTGTGGACCTCTCGATTCTATTTCCCTTTTAACTTCCTCGTGATTTCCCCCAAATCCCATCACATTTTTTCATTAATCGATTCATTTTAGACCTTAAAGTCTCCACCTTTCTTCTCTTTTTCAGAGTTTCCATGGTTTCTGAAACCGAAGCTTCGCAGGTTTTTTCTTTGTTTGAAAGATTGTTAAGGCTCAGGGAGCTCTATTTGTCTCTACCCTTCATCTTGAGATCCTCCGACAACGACAACGACAACAACGACGATGTTTCAAGACAAAACACCGAAAACCCAGATCAAGAAACAGCTCCACAACGTGAGAGAACAATCCTTGTCAACCCGTTTATTCAGGGCATGGTGGTCATCGAGGGAGCTTCAAATTTGGAAGCTTTGGTACGCGGGTGGGCTAACAAAGACGGTCACCCGCCTGCTTCCAAGGCATCGATAGAAGCCATGCCGAGCGTCGACGTCGGTGAAGACGAAGATGGGGAGTGCGTGGTTTGCTTGGAGGAGTGGAAGGCGGAGGAGCTTGCGAAGGAGATGCCTTGCAAGCACAAGTTCCACGGTGAATGTATAGAGAAATGGCTTGAAATACATGGCTCTTGCCCTGTTTGCAGGTACAAGATGTCCGTTGATGATGAAGAGAAAGGCAAGAAGACAGGCGAGCAGAGGGAGATTTGGGTTAGATTTTCTTTCAATAACGGTCCTCCAACTGGTTCTGGCAATGCAAATGAAACCCAGAATTAGAAGAATCGTGTAAGAATTTGTATGTTTTTATTGGAAAAGCATGTACATATTGATGAACATAAATAAAATTTCGAGCATGCTACTCTCACATGGAGAATTAGCAGAATTTGTATCAATGAAAGACACAGAAAATCTTTTACTCAACACCAAGAGATTTCCATGAAGTGATCCACCTCGTTCCACCACTAGCATTTGAGATTTTTCTCGGACAAGGTGGTGGCTGATGATGTAATCATGGGATCAGCCTGCAACTTCCTTTTAACGTCCACTGTCGTACAAGGAAGCTCTGGTAATAGAACAAACACCATGTGCTAGACGGGATTCAAAAGTTGGTCATATAATTGAAGTTAGCTGCGTAGTCGTCGATGGTAAAATGTTGCTTCCGACAGCTGTAGTGGGATGGGCTCATTTTTTCATCATCTAGATTTTGACAGAATCACAGCCGATAATTTTAAAGGGAATAATGAATCGAAACCGATGAATGATATGCGATTTAGTACTTAGTCGTTAAAATTTTAACTGTTTATTATTTAAATTATCAGTTTTTATTCATTTAATACTTAAAATTTTAAAATTTAACGTTAAATTTTAAAAATATGTATTAAAATGAGATAAAAATTAAATTTTAAATATGATTTTGAAAAAAAAATAAAAGTTTAAATATTAAAATAAATTAAAATTGATAGTTTAAGTATTAAATTTGTAATTTACCCTAAATATTATGAATCTTTGGAGGTTTCAATTAGGGGATGAGTTTCTTTAGACATCAATAGGCGAACGAGGTGAGATTATTATTTACGAAGAAATTTATTTGGAGATATAACAATATTCATATACTCCCCATAAAATTGATGAATAATTTTATTTTAAAATTGATAATGATCCAACATGTTTTATAATTATATAATATATCATATAAAATTATCTAATTTTTACCCTTTTTTCACATGTAAGAATACAATATTATCGTGAAAGCTATCTCCCAATAAATGGAATGAGCATACAAATATACCAACATTTCATTCTTAGTTTGACACCAAATTGATGTACAATCTAGCTATGGATTCATTAAGACAAGATGTGCTTTTTTTAAAGTGCACCTTTCACTTCTAATTTAAGTTAGGGAGATAAGTATGGCAGTGGGGCATATAGCCTATGAGATACCCTAAAAGAAAAGGTTGATGGAATGGGATATTATGATAAATGGGAGGCAAAAAGTTATTGCAAGGTGACCAACACCTCATCCTCTTCCACTAACAATGTGTTTTCCCCTGTGAGTTTGATTTCTGATTCCTAAGTTTTAACCTAACATTCCTATCTTAAGCTTTCATTTGCTTTTAGTAACCATCAAATTCTCTTTTAAAAAACTCAACTTTATACTATTGACAAAAGAGAGTAAAATAATGTTGAGATCAAACTAATTTAGGTATGCACACACCACTATTATTATAATGGACAAATTAAGGGTATGTATGTTTGGTTGTAATTGGTTTTCCGGAAAATGAATTACTGGAATTTGAATTATTGGAACTGAAAAATGAATTCTGAAATTTGAATTTTGGAAAATGAATTACATTTCTAGAAAACGTTTTTCGGAAAATATTTTCCGTAAAATGAATTACAGTTTTCTGAAAAACGTTTTATGATGTTTGGAAGATGTTATTTAAACATTTTTTCCACTAGTTGAAGAGTTTTTTAAAAATTATTTATTACAAATATTAAAAATAATAAATAATATTATTTATCATAAAACTTAATATTATTATTTTAAAATATTAAAATAATTTATTTATTATTAAATATTATTTTTATAATTTTATTAATAAAAATATTAATTTTTGTATATTTTAGTGAAATAAAATATTATAAATTATATTATTTATTTATTAAAGTAATAGTGTTATATTATATTTTAAAAATATTAATTAGTATATTTTAAATATATTTATTAAAATATTATTTAAATATATAAATAATATTATTCATTATTAAATATATAAAAAAATTATTATATATTATTAAAATAAAATTATAATATCTTATATTATTATAAAATAATTGATTATTTTATATAATATTAAAAATATAATATTATATTATAAATATTAATAAATAAATAAATAATATTTTGATGAAAATGATATTAAAATATTTTATTAATATTAAATTCATAAAATAAAATTATTTTGAGTATTTATTCTTTGAAGTGAAAAGTTCAGAAAATGACTTACGGAAAATGAATCCGTAAGTCATTTTACAAAAAACACAAAGGAAATTCTGTTACTAGGAAAATGAATTACATTTCGAAAAATTAATTATGTGAAACAAACACGGGAAAATATTTTTCGAAAAACGAATTAAGTGAAACAAATACGAAAAAATATTTTCTGAAAAACGAATTACGTGAAACAAACACGTAAATTCGAGAAAAACCAATTCCGTAATTCCAATTACGGCAAACAAAGACACCCAAATATTAAGTATTGAAGTTTGAGTCTTAGTTGTTTGAGTTGTGTGGCTCGACTTCTTTTTTATTATGTACGAGATAATTAAGAAGAAATTCACTTAAATTAAATATTAAATTAGAGATTTGATGTGACGGGCAGAAAATACAATTAGCGTAAAGTTTTACTTTTCCCTACACATATTGACAAGTAAAAATTCTCTTACCCAATGACAAAACTGTTAAGAGCATTAAGAGGTTGCAACGTCTATAAAAAAACGTTTATATCTTCTTCTTCTTTTTCTTTTTTTTCTTCCGATTTCTAAGGTTATGTCCTAATTAATTCGTACTTAATTTTAGTAGGTGAGTTTTTCGGTGAAAATTTTATGCATACATTAAATTTCGAACTTGAGACTTACTTAAATGATATCAAGCTACTTACCACTTTAACCAACCCTGTTAGTTGTCTTCCAAATTTTTTTAGATAATACTATTTTACCTAGGTTTTTTAATTCACTTACATTATGTAAAATTAATAAGTTTTACACTAATTTATAGTCATTTGATTTAAATAAATAAATGACTTCGATTTAATTAAAGTTTATAACTCATAAATAAATATTTCTTTAAGTCACGGTAAAATAATAGTTTTTAGAGTTTAAGATTTATAGTATTAGATTTAGGGTTTAGAGGTTATGGTATATGATTTGGAGTTTTAAGTTTGAGGTTTGTGATTTTAGGATTTTGAGATTTAAAGTTTAGGATTTGAGATGTGGGATGAAAAGTATTTTACCATGAGCTAAAGATATATTTACTCATAGATTAAAAATTTTAATCAAATCTAAACCTTTTATTGATTTAAATCTAATGAAGGTAAAACTTATTAATTTTACATTAGAACATATCCCTTTTACGTATTATTAATTTAATTTTACTTTAATTGTCCATATATGACATATTTTAAACTGGCTTTATTTGTCCCCCATGAATTCAGTGTCCATTTTAGACACGTGGCAGTCACCAAGTATTTCGTATCAAGTATGAGTATCATTCCCGATTTCTAACAAAGCGTAGCGACTAAGGTAGCGTTTGGTTCGTTGGAATATCTTGAAATTAGAAGAAATTAGGAGAAATTAGAATCCAATTCCACCACTTTCTCATGTTTGATTCAAGTTTTCAAAGGGAGAATTGGAATCCAATTATATCAAAGGAGGGAAAATAAATTCTATCTATAACGTGATCGAATTGAAATCTTTGGAGGAGAGAATCTGAAATTTGACCATACTACCCTCATCAATCTTTTAGTATTCGGATCAGATTTTTTTAAAAAATTTTGGGATCAGTTGGATTTTTTTTTAATTTGGGTTTGGGTCGGGTTTTTTAAAGTTTGATATTCGGGTCGGGTCGAGTTTTTGCAAGTGTGATATTCGGGTTGGGTTTTTTTCAAAAAATGTTGGGATGGGTCGGGTTTTTTTATAAAAAAATTGGGTTCGGGTCGGGGTCGGGTTTAGGGTGAAAAATGTCCGACCCGACCCAAAAAAAATATATAATTTTACCTTATATATTTAAGAATGATTACAATAATACCCATCTATATATAATTTTTTTCAATTAAGTCACTGTTTGTATTGAATAATTTTTTTTATTATTTCGGGCCGGGTTTCTAATTCATATATTCGGGTCGGGTCAGGTGAAACTTTATTTTGGTCGGGTCAGGACGTGTCTCGGGTGGAGGTTCCCTTGTTCTCGAGTCGGGTCTGTTGGACCAAAAACCCGACCCATGGCCATCCCTAATTGGGATGATTTTAACTTATGATGTTTATTAATATGATTTTTATAATTTATTAAAATGAATAATCAATCAATAAAATAAAAATTTAATATTTTTTAAAAATTTTATAATATATTGTTTTGTAAGTTATAAAATAAACTAAAATTAAGAAAAAAACAAGAAGGGCAATTCAGTCATTTTATATTATTGAAATCAAATTCATCTACATGTTTACGAACAAAACAGAATATAAAATTAGATTTCAATTTAATTTCCTGCTAACCAAACAGGTTTAATATTCATATTCCAATTCTTCATAAAATCCAATTCCATAAGAAACATTACAGCGGACCAACGGCTAGTTGAAACAATAATCATTTTACAATCGCACCCATTACCGGAGCCGTGGAAATACCGGTGCTTTATGTGGCCGGTCACAGCAGAAGACCCACGTGTCAAAAATTCAGTCATGAATAAAGATGAAAGGCGAGGATGAGACGTTGTTTAAAATGAATAGTTTGCAGATTAGATTTAGACGGTGGGACCGACGCAAGAATATGTCTGGAGCTGTGCTCGGCAAGGCAGGTGGGTCCCTTATTCCATGTCAAATTTTTGGCATTGACAGGTCATACTAGTTAAGTATTTCAGTGTTGAGTAAACTACACTTTTAGTCACCCAAATTTTAATATATATATATTCAGTCACAAAATTATATATATTTTTTAAAAAAACATTATCATAAAAGTAAAATGACTTTCGAAACTTTGTTATCAAACTCAGATTTTCAAATTCCTTTCGATTTACGAATTTAGAATATTTTCTTTTAAATTAAAAAGATAAAAAGATCAAAGAATATGAGAAGAATAGTATATCAATTGAAAGGTGAGTTTTTAAGATAATATTAAGTTTAATTTCAACTCTTATTAAAGCACTAAAAGGGAAAAATATTTTAGTCACAATAGGATGGTGAAGACTTTGAATTATTCTTAAAATAATGTGAAACGTTTTAGGTTTCTTTGGTTAGTGAAGGCTATCATTTGATCAAGGAAAGCAACAACAAAGAAGGCAAGTATTTGAGAAAAATAAGAACCAAGTATTCAGGATAAAAAAGGCTTAATCCTCATTTTAGCCCTTGAATTATAACTGCTTTTTATTTTGGTATATATGTAATTAAATGAGGGGTACATATATAATTTTGAATTATTTGAATTGTTTGATTCGAGTCAACTGAAATTAGTAGTTCGGATTTTGAGTCTAAATCAAGTTAAAATTACGTCATATTTGTCTTTAGTTTTAACTAAACAATTTAATTATTTTATGATTTGATAACTAAAGTTTTTTTTTTCAATCACTCGTTTGTTTTAAGTTTATTTTTATCGAATTTAAATCTTACGATCTTTAACCATTATAGAATACATGTGCAATATCATTACCTCTTTTTGACATTTTTTTTTCTCTTTTTAATCTTTTAACTTTGTATTTTATTTAAGGGTAATCTATGTCAAATACCACTCACCTTTAGGCTCGGGCTCGTTTATGCCAGCAACGTTTTAATTTTGTCAATTTTAACACTAACGTTTAAGTTTAACTGCAATTATGTCACTCCGCCATTAATGGCATAACGACACGATGACATAACACCTCCGCGCCGTGACGTTGCTCCCTCACCAAAACGAAAAACGACGTCGTTTTGGCATGACTGTGTTGGTGCTAATAAAGCCTCAAAACGACGTAGTTTTGTTTGAGAAAAATTAGTAAATAATCCTTTTGGTGGGATTTGAACTCATAACCTTTTGAAATAAAGGTTAATACTTAACCACTATGCCAATTTAGATTTTTTGCCATAATTCTATAAACATAATATACATAAGTCAGCATTCGAAAAGTTATTTTCATAAAATAACCTATGAAATTATTAAAATTCCAAAAAAACCCTTAAATTCCATAAAATTTCAAAAAACTCCTAAATTCCTAAAAATTCCAAAAAAAATTAGGGATCAAAGTTGATTTCAGTATTCTCTTACTCACTAAACGCCTGCTCTGTATCATCATCATTTCCAAACGGATTAACTTCCCTATCTCTCCCACGACCCTAACCACCACTTCTGCCACCCCATCCACCAGGTCGAACACCACCACCACCATACCCAGATCGATTGTTATAATCATTCCTAGGAGCAGTCCAATGTGATCCCCCTTGTCCAGGTCGATCATTACTTAAAGCAGGGCCACTGGAAGTAGGAGCAGGTGGGTCTGCTGACGGCGGGCGATTACGGAGATATGGAGGAACATAAGCAGGTCGCCCACCACCCGAAGTGGAACTAGGAACTTTGATGCTATCAGAGGAAGAACCAACACCTACATTCTCAGCCGCAGAATTTGCAGCCAAATCTGCCCATGATGTTCATGTAGTCATTACAATTCACAAGCACCCAAGATCCCAATTTTTCAACAAAACCCTTTTTAGTCAAAATCCACCAAGCTAACTTTCCCAATATGAAATTTAATTGAACCTGGACAAATCATTAAAAAAACCATAAACCCTTCAAAACAAACGATGCAATCATCTCTTACTTCATTAATCACCCAAATGCAGCATGTTAATGTAATCCATCAGCTCGAAGAAACATCGAAGAGACCCTGAAACTTAATATCTAAAACAGAAACAACGATTCATTCGATCAATTGGGAGGAAAAAGCTACCAGTGCCACATAATCAACAAACAAAAACCCCAAGTGCATTATAGAATTATGTTTATAGAATTATATCAAAAAAATTAAATTGGCATAGTGGTTAAGTATTAACCTTTATTTCAGAAGGTTATGGGTTCAAATCCCTTCAAATGCATTATTTACTAATTTTTCTCAAATAAAACTACGTCGTTTTGAGGCTTTTTTAGTACAACCACAGTCATGCCAAAACGACGTCATTTTGGTGAGGGAGCCACGTCAGTAACGTCACGGTGCGGAGATGCCATGTCATCGTGGCGTTACACCATTAACGGCGGAGTGGCATAATTGTTGTTAAACTTAAACGTTAATGTTAAAATTGGTAAAATTGAAACGTTGCTGGCATAAACGAGCCCGAGCCTAAAGGTGAGTGGTATTTGACATAGATTACCCTTTATTTAATTTAATTCTCCGACCTCAACTCTTTATAAATTATTTATTCACATCAGTTTCTTAACTCTTTTATATGTCTATCAGTATTTTATGGTCAAACTAATTCTTCTAAAAAATAACGTTATAAATATATTATATAAATTTAGATAAAATTTGATTTATTGAATAGCATTACAAATTTTACTTATATATAGATTAGAAATAATATATAGGATCCGATTAATATGTGTGAAAATCTTTTAGATTTATATATTTTCAGGACTATTGGATCAGAGAAATTAAAGAATGAGATTAACAGTAGAAAATTAGAAGATATTCACCCAAAAAAACAATGAGTTAATCTCAGCCTTTGATTTTACTCAATCCAATGATCTTAAAAAAAGTGTAAAACTAAAAATATTTTACACATTGTATGTATTTTAACTATATATATATCATTTAAATTGGAATCAATGAGTATCATAACATTATAAATTATTATAATTAAATTTAAATATAAACTCAACTAAATATACTCTATTTGACTAGACTCAAATTTTATACTCGACTAAATTTTTTAATAAAATAATACTAAACAACTCAAAATTTTTATAACTGGATTAGATACAATCAAATACTACTTAGCGTGCGTGTAATGAGAGACAGAAAGGAGGCAAAGAAAGGCACCATCTTTTTAAGCAATGTGGAGGAATATAAGAGCATGAAAAAGATCTTAAAAGTCCACAAAACGTGTGGTTCTCAATCGTCTTTGCCTCTTTCTCTCTTGCTTACTTGGCATTCCCCACCCTTGTTTTCTTAAGCCGAACGCCCTTGGGCCTCTTTAGCCTTCTTCCCAGTCTCCCTCCATTTCTATTCACCAACAGAACTGGTATCAATATTTTCTGACAAAACAAACAGAAAAAAGGGTTTGGTTCAGTTAGAAATATCACTGCAACAAGATATTAGTCAGTCATGTCTGAACTTAAGCTGTTCGGCAAGTTGATTCCATTGCTGACATTGAACCAGGATGAAGCTTTGGTCGATCATTGTTGTGACAGAGATCTTCTTTCTTCTTCTAATTCTTCAGGTGCTGTGAATTCTGATCATGGGATTCAAGCTCCGTCTCCCATGGAAGAAGACAAGGTAATTTGTCCAAATTTTCCTAGGTTGATTTCGAGGTTCTTAATGAAACCCTGTAGTTGACCCGGTTCTGTAATTTGTTCTTCTTCATGCAAATCTTGATGGCTTAAGGGCGATCTGTTTTGGGTTTGATTTCTTCAAATTAAGTTCTGAATTTTGTAAAGTTTTACCCAGAAAAAAGAAAGAATATTTTTTCCCTACTTGCTTGGGTTGATTGCTTTGAGTTTTCTGTGAGAAATATTATTTTCTTGCAGTTTCAAACAATCATTTCAGGTTGGCGTCGATTGCTTCCACGCAATTGAGCAAAAAAAACATTAGTTTATGTTTCTTGATCTTCAAGTAAGTTGTCCTTGCTTTGTTTTGATCTAATTTCACAAGGGTTAAGTTTCAATGAATCCACCATTGATGACGTTTGAAATAGTTTAAGCATGAGAGCCCAGTGAATATAACCGAGAATTATGCTTGAAATTCAAGTGTTTGAAGTTCTGGTTTTTAGGAGAAGCCTGAAGAAGGCGACAATGGCGGGATCCCTTTGTCCGAAAGGAAACATTCGTCGCCAGAAAGCTCGAAGAACGAAGAGAAGACGTTAAAGAAGCCCGACAAGATACTTCCTTGCCCACGATGTAATAGTAAGGAAACCAAGTTTTGTTACTACAACAATTACAACGTGAACCAGCCCCGTCATTTCTGCAAAAACTGTCAGAGATACTGGACCGCCGGCGGAGCCATGCGGAACGTTCCGGTCGGCGCCGGCCGTCGTAAAACTAAAAGCTCGTCTTCCTCCGCCGCCGCCGCCGCTTTGCATTACCATCATCATGTTACGATATCTGAAGCTATCCTTGGAGCTCAAGCCAGTGCTGTTCTCACGTTTGGTAATTCTTCTCATTTGCCTCCGCCAGCGGCTCTTTACCGTCCCGGCTTTCCGGCAACCTTCTACTCGCCTGCCCTGGGGAAACATTCCAGGGACGAAGAAGACAGCATTGAACCGGAGAACGGAGCTTCGAATCCGAAAGCTTTGAGGATCGACGACACCAACGTGACCGCGAAAAGCTCGATGGTGGCGGCCCTCATGATCAAAACCAAGAACACCATGAATTCAGGAGGTATCATCGACGGCTTCCGATCGAAAACCGGCGACGACGACAGAAATTATCGACTGAGAACATTCTCGGTGCTGCAAGCGAACCCCGCAGCCTTGTTTCGATCACTCGACTTCCATGAAAACACATGAAAGGAGGAGATGGACAATATAGCTAATAGCAAGAGTGGCACAACTTGTAAATTAAATCAGATTCTGATTTCAATTACCGTACTTGCCATATAAGTATTCTAAGCACATCAGGAAATGGGTTACCATACCTACATTAGTATTAATAGTATATATTATAAATGTTAAGATTTAAATCCTAGATCGAATAAAAATTCAGATTTTTATCGAAACATATCCACGTGATAGGGAAAAAGAGGGGTTTGAAGGGCCTGGATTGAGTAGATAAACATGAAATTTGATGTTATGGAAAGGGCAAGCAGCTTTGTCTTTCAAATAACAAAGTACTATATTTTGTGGTAAGATGTATATATAACAACTCCACTAGTAAATTATTTATTACGAAAGGTTTATGCTTATATTTAAATATGAATGGAATACAGATGTTATAATATTTTTCAATGAAATTTATCTCTTGTTTTTTATTTTTTAATTGAGATAGTATCACGGGTTGATAGAATATCAATTCAATTTAAAAATGAAAATATATTTTTAAGATTAAAGAAATAACATAGAATTTAATGATCACAATTTAGTATACGTTCATGTCCGTCACTTAAACATTTTTTTAAGTGTAATGTATAAAGCAGAAACGATCAAAATTATATATATATACCATTAGATGAGGATAAATCAAAAACTAAAATTAACTCATTATTTTTTCCCCCAGTTAATATCTTCTCATTTACTATTGTTAATCTTAGCCTTTGATTTATCTTATCAAACAATCCTAAAAATATGTCACATAAAGTTTAGGTCAGGGGTGACTCCCCCAGTCCAAGGCTAAGGCATATCTAAGACTCAATTGGGATTTACATAAGAATTTTACAGATTGGACACCAAGAGTGAAGATGATAGGATTCGAACTTTGGCCTTACAAAATCAAATTCCTGAATTCTAACCACTTGTTCCAACGTGTTGGAAGAATCAAATATAATTGTTATGAAGTACAATTGAATTAGTAATCAAAATATATCACTCTTATTGTAAAGCAGAAACGATCTAAATTATATATATATATATCTATTTACATCGTAAAACTCTTTTGTATGATCATTAGATGAGGGGAAATCAAATATTAAAATTAACTCATTGTTTTTTTCCAGTGAATATATTATCATTTCCTATTGTTAATCTTAACTTTTGATTTCTCTCATCTAAAAATCCTATATATATATATATATATATATGAGTTATGATCTATTTACATCATGTGTAAAACTTTTTTATGACCATTAGATGAGGAGAAATCAAAGACTAAAATTAACTCATTGTTTTTTTCTCTCCAGTGAATATATTCTCATTTTCTATTGTTAATCTTAACCTTTGATTTCTCTCATCTAACAATCCTAAAAATATGTCACGTAAAATTTAGGTCAGGGATGACTCCCCAGTCCAGGGCTAGGGCATATCTAAGACCCAATTAGGATTTATATAAAAATTTTACAGATTGCGCACTAAGGGTGACGATGGTAGGATTCAAACTTTGGCCTTACAAACTCAAATTCCTAAATCCTAACCACTTGTTACAACATGTTGGAAGAATCAAATATAATTGTTATGAAGTACAATTGAATTAGTAATCAGAATATATCACTCTTATTGTTTTATTCTATTTTATTAGATTAATTTTTATGATAGAAACAAGTTGACACCAAAAATAAAAGCAAACAGCCTTCAATCTCCTGCATAGATGGCTAATAAAGACTGTTGGGCACTTGGGCTTCCACTTCTGACCCATGGGTTTAAAGGGTGCAATTATAGTCTTAGCCCACCTTAAAAATGAAAAATCCAATTTAGTCCTTTTAACTTCTAAATAAATGAAAATTTTCTCAATTTCGACCCAATCCGAAAATAATTCATTAAAATATTTTAGTTTTATCATGACCCCGATTATTGGCTTCAATTCTATATGGATAGATTTTTGCCAGTCATATCTAGGATTACATGTAAACATTTGTCTCTAATTTTCTTAAAGAAGTCAAAATTAAATTATATTGTTTTTTAAAAATGATGATTTTATTAACTTTTGTATGTCGTTTTCATGTTATGTTTATAATATATTAATATCTAAGATTGAGACAAGGAGGATCAGGTAGGGTTAGGATTTAAGAAAATGACATGATATGCTACGGAAGCAAATTAACCTAATTCCCCACTTTGTTATTGTTTTTTTTTATTACTGACACAGTCTTAATAGAAAAAGAAAACCCATATTTGCTTAGTCAACAATAGTATAAATGTTGACGTCTTTCACCCATTAATTAATCTATATTTTTACCTAGGAGGTCCAAAGAAGGAAAAACAAGAGCTTAATGAAGACATTATCGGTTGAATCTGGCGAAACATCTCACGAGACGAACCAGGAAAACTCGATGATCGATGTGGTTTCCATGCTAGAATTCGTACTGAGATTCCTTGCCACCGGCGGAACACTGGCGAGTGCTATGGTGATGGGTACCGCTGAAGAAACTGTTCCATTGGTGTCTCAGTCCATCCTATTGAATCCCAAATTTAGTGATCTTCCCATGTTCACGTGAGTTACCTACAGATAATGTTACGTTGCGACTCTTATTTAACATGTTCTTAACGTGTCACATAATCTTTACAGGTTCTTTGTGATTGTCAATTCGGTTGCTTGTGCCTATCTTGTGCTTTCTCTTCCCCTATCTTTCTTCCATATCATCAGGAGAGTGACGAAAAACAGTCGACTCGTCTTGGTCACGTTCGACACGGTGAAAATGATGATGAACTTTAGTTTCGGGGCATCTTAGACTTATTTTTACGATAGTTTCCGATATTGCGTATTTTATTTTTTTTGTTTGTTCCCGGCAATAATGGCCTTGGTCACTGCCTGAGCTTCGGCTGCCGCCTCCATCGTTTATTTAGCACACGAAGGGAATACTAATGCAAATTGGTCCGCAGTTTGCCAACAATTGGATTCCTTCTGCGAGCACACGTCGGGATCGTTGATCGCCTCTTTTGTTTCGGCATTCGTACTCATGCTTGTTATTGTTTCGTCAGCCATTGCCATCTCTCACCGCCGATTCAACGCAACGATGAAACAATGCATCTCCCTATGTATCTGATACATTACGGTTCATTTATGTGTAGGTTTGGCGTTTGGATTCTGTTTTTTGTACTATCGTATACAGGTCTGGAACCACTTTATACCCAAAAATTAGTATATTTTCCAGCAAGTAACCCTACTTACTGCTTTTACTTTGATTCCATCAAGCAATATATCATTCTCTAGGATGCCCTTTGATTCCATCCAGTGAGTATAAGTCGTAAACAAAGATGAGCAGTTTGACCCAAGAATGGACTGAAGGGTGGGTGGAGGCAGTCTCCGTAAATTTTAAAATTACTATTTATTTTATATTGTTTCTCTGTATTTTTTATTGAAAATCTATTTTATCCCATAGGATTTTATAAGTAAAAGCTCACCCCATGTACTTTTAAAAGTTCAAATTCATCACCTTAACATAAAATTATGCGACGGTCCCTAGTTTGATTAACCGGTCAAATGTACTTACTCTAATCATATCAGAAGTTGAATACAACAATTGAGTTTCTCTGTATTACCTTAAGCTTGTTTAGTTTTTGTTTCATTTTATTATCACGTCGTTAAAAACTTAAAGCGTTTAGTACCTAAACTATCAATTTTAGTCCGTTTTAGTACATAATCTTTCATTTTTTTTAAAAAAAAATTAACTTTGAAATTTGAATGGATACTAAAATGAAACAAAATACTAAATTTTAAGAATAATTTTAAAAAATTAAAACTTTTGATACTAAAACAGATTAAAACTGATAATTTTATTAAAATCGTATTTTACCCTGAAAACAATACATATCATCTCATTTCTACATATCATTTTTTTTACCATAAACATTAAGAGTTGTCTATAATTCAACTTCTATATGTAAGAAAGATTGGAGCCAAACTTATTATAAAATGGGACAAAGAATAAAGGGGACAGCGAGGCGAAAAGAATAAATGCGAGTCCTGGTAAGTTTGACTCATTCAAAAGAAAGGAGCATCAGACAAGAAGCTTGTTCAAACACGATCACTTGGGTTTTTGCCCGATGCTAATGTGTTTTGGGGACGGCACATCACTCGTTCAAACATGAGCACCTAAATGCTAAAACCATTAATTATAGTAAATAGGGATGGACGTAAAAATTTATATTAGGTGATAAAAATATAAAAAATTATATTAAAACCTTAGGAGATATTAGATTATAAAATCTCAATAAATACGAAATTAAATAATTCATATAAAATACAAAAAATATTTAAAATACAAATAAATTTTAAATTTCTAGAAAGCACAACCATACTCCCTGCACCCATCCATCCCTGATGAAATGTGCAAACGACAAAAGAACAAAGCATTGTGGCAATCCTAGACGCAACATTACTGCAGTCCCCACAAGGTGTTTTTGACCATCTTGATTACCAGTTTTCTCATTTGGATAAGTGACGGCGTAGTTATCCACATTCCACTACGGTTGGTGCCAATCTCCCTTTCTTCTTTTTTATATTTCTGGTGCTTACGGTTGCAGCCTAACATCGAAGTTTATATGTTATTTCTTTTGGGGTAAATTACGTTTCTAGTATCTAAACTATCAGTTATGATCCGTTTTAATACCTAAACTTTTAATTTTTTCAAAATCATACCTAAAGTTTAATTTTTGTTTTGTTTTATTATACAAGTGTTACAAACTTTAGTTTTTGTTTCATTTTAGTGCCCTGTTCAAAATTTAACATTAAGTTTTTAAAAAATTGAAATTTTAGGTACTAAATGTGTTAAGTTTTTAACGACGGGCACTAAAATGAAATGAAAACTAGACGCTGAGTATGATTTTTAAAAAAATTGAAAATTTATGTACTAAAAAGAGATCAAAACTGATAGTTTATGTACTAAATGTATATAGTTTACCCTTTTTTGTCTTATCGAGTAGTTCAAAAAATATGGATAAAATAGGCTA